ATTTGGCCAAAATTGAAAAAAATATAAGGGGTTAGCCTTACATTTTTAGTCAAAATTGGCCAAAAATTGACTTTTCTCAAAACAAGGCAGAAATTCATCTGGATGCAAGAGGATCATCGATCAATACTCAAAAACGCATAATTTGGAACATTTGGTCAAAAATCATCTATTTTTATAGAAAAAAAGTTAATGTTTGAAGTGATTTGACCTTAAATTTTCGACGGAATTTCCCCTTGAATAGCACATTTGTCCAGAAATCGATTTGAAATGTGTTCTAGGGCCCTTACAGTATCATTGTAGCAACTTTTGCTCAATTTAATTTTTTGGCCAAAATTGAAAAAAATATAAGGGGTTAGCCTTACATTTTTAGTCAAAATTGGCCAAAAATTGACTTTTCTCAAAACAAGGCAGAAATTCATCTGGATGCAAGAGGATCATCAATCAATACTCTAAAACGCATAATTTCGAAGATTTGGGCAAAAATCATCTGTTTTTATAGAAAAAAAGTTAATGTTTGGAGTGATTTTACCTTAAATTTTCGACGGAATTTCCCCTTCAATAGCACATTTGTCCAGAAATCGATTTGAAATGTGTTCTAGGGCCCTTACAGCATCTTTCTATCAACTTTCAAGCAATTTCATTTTTTGGTCAAATTTGAAAAAAAATACAAGGGGTTAGCCTTACATTTTTAGTCAAAATTGGCCAAAAATTGACTTTTCTCAAAACCAGGCAGATATTCATCTGGATGCAAGAGGATCATCGATCAATACTCTAAAACGCATAATTTCGAAGATTTGGGCAAAAATCATCTGTTTTTATAGAAAAAAGTTAAACTTTTGAGTGATTTTACCTTAAATTTTCGTCGGAATTTCCCCTTGAATAGCACATTTGTCCAGAAATCGATTTGAAATGTGTTCTAGGGCCCTTACAGCATCTTTCTAGCAACTTTCAGGCAATTTCATTTTTTGGCCAAAATTGAAAAAAATATAAGGGGTTAGCCTTACATTTTTAGTCAATATTGGCCAAAAATTGACTTTTCTCAAAACAAGGCAGAAATTCATCGGGATGCAAGAGGATCATCGATCAATACTCTGAAACGCATAATTTCGAAGATTTGGGCAAAAATCATCTATTTTAATAGAAAAAAAGTTAAACTTTTGCGTGATTTTACCTTAAATTTTCGACGGAATTTCCCCTTGAATAGCACATTTGTCCAGAAATCGATTTGAAATGTGTTCTAGGGCCCTTACAGCATCTTTCTAGCAACTTTCAAGCAATTTCATTTTTTGGTCAAATTTGAAAAAAAATACAAGGGGTTAGCCTTACATTTTTAGTCAAAATTGGCCAAAAATTGACTTTTCTCAAAACGAGGCAGAAATTCATCTGGATGCAAGAGGATCATCGATCAATACTCTAAAACGCATAATTTCGAAGATTTGGGCAAAAATCATCTATTTTAATAGAAAAAAAGTTAAACTTTTGAGTGATTTTACCTTAAATTTTCGACGGAATTTCCCCTTGAATAGCACATTTGTCCAGAAATCGATTTGAAATGTGTTCTAGGGCCCTTACAGTATCATTCTAGCAACTTTTACTCAATTTCATTTTTTGGCCAAAATTGAAAAAAAATGTAAGGGGTTAGCCTTACATTTTTAGTCAAAATTGGCCAAAAATTGACTTTTCTCAAAACGAGGCAGAAATTCATCTGGATGCAAGAGGATCATCGATCAATACTCTAAAACGCATAATTTCGAAGATTTGGTCAAAAATCATCTATTTTTATAGAAAAAAGTTAATTTTTGGAGTGATTTTACCTTAAATTTTCGACGGAATTTCCCCTTGAATAGCACATTTGTCCAGAAATCGATTTGAAATGTGTTCTAGGGCCCTTACAGTATCATTCTAGCAACTTTTACTCAATTTCATTTTTTGGCCAAAATTGAAAAAAAATGTAAGGGGTTAGCCTTACATTTTTAGTCAAAATTGGCCAAAAATTGACTTTTCTCAAAACGAGGCAGAAATTCATCTGGATGCAAGAGGATCATCGATCAATACTCTAAAACGCATAATTTCGAAGATTTGGTCAAAAATCATCTATTTTTATAGAAAAAAGTTAATTTTTGGAGTGATTTTACCTTAAATTTTCGACGGGATTTCCCCTTGAATAGCACATTTGTCCAGAAATCGATTTGAAATGTGTTCTAGGGCCCTTACAGCATCATTCTAGCAACTTAACTTTCAAGCAATTACATTTTTAGTCAAAATTGGCCAAAAATTGACAAAAACCCAATCAGTTTTACACTTATTTTTCTTGCTCGCACGGTGACAAATGTATCAAGCGGTTAAATACTATACACGTCCATAATTTGTTTCAATAGAGGGCGCTCCACATGCACAGTTGATGTCACTGCTGCCTGCACAGCTGTCACCACTCTAAAATTTGGCTAATTCCAAAAAAATGGGAATGGTCACCCCGGATCCTTCAGGACACACCAACGGACAAAAAAAAATGACAAGAAAGAACAAACCTCTGATATCTCTAATTATATTAACAACTCTCAAAGTTCTGAGCACTATAACAAAATCTTATAATAAAATTCTTCAATTAAAATCACACTCTTGATCTTGGTAGAAGATTCCCAATCAACTTCAGATCGGGTGAATTACTTCCAACTTATTAAATCAATCAATGACAAGATCATAAAAAAACACTCATGCTCAATTAATCAGTTAAATGTCTTCCAAATTATTACATCAATCGATGACAAGGGTCATAAAAAGTACGTTCAATCAATTGAAAACACTGTTCAGTCAATCAGACACTATCAATTTGTTTCCAAATGTAACTCCGTTACCAGACTTCTCTCAATTATGTACAGATCGGGCACTTCCCTTTTACCAGTTTCTACAAACTTTAAAGCGTTGGAGTTCCCGGCGTGTGAGGGCTCGCAAGACCGTGGTGGGCACAACTCACAGGACTCGGCCGGCTACGCCTCAGTAAATACTCTACGTCTACAGCACCTCAGTGGTAGACTCCTACTCCAGTCGGTGTTATAGTCGACAGGGGAATAATCTCAACCAAAAAGGCCATCTATAATGAATATAAATCCAAAACCTTCCTAGTTCTCAAACATACATAGGTTATGATCTAGTTTATATTATATCGTCAAACTCGATTTTCACAATTGCATATTATCAAAATTCTCACTGAAATAGATAACTCCAGTCTCCTCGAAATTGTTCAATCAGAATCGTTATTTCATGATGAACTTAATAATTCTGATCACCAATCTTTAAGGCTGTAAGTCAGATCATGACATACTTGAACTTCAATTTAATAGGCAGGAAAATCACAAAATTAATACACTTACGGTAATTTGCTGTGCAGCTTTCTTGGGGAGGCGAACTGATGCCATGAAATGTCACAGATGACCGGGACAGTTTTACGACTGGAATTCGGCTTGAATTTGCCCAATTCTAGATACGGAACTGAATTTCCGTCTCTCTTCCAATAGGGATCAAACGGATCCACAAAGGCTATGATCTGCTGTTCTCATATCTCTGATGCAAGGGAAGTTATAACCGGTCTCTCAAGCACACGACCGCTCTCCAAAACTCTGTCTTTTCTCGAACAAGTCAAAATGTCTTCTGCCTCTCTAAATCTCTATCTCTCTCACAACAAAACAAACTCCAACATACCACACACAAAAGGCCCTAAACGGCGTTTCCGAAAAGGACAAAACGATCTATTCTTATACTGACTGACGTGATTTGTTCAACAATTAGGGTGGGCGTTCTCTGACAATTACCATGACCTTGTACAAATGCTGTTGCGTAAGATAGAAGGGCTATTTTTAACACTCCAAGAACGCTTTAGCTCTAAGTGGCTGAGTGAAGTCTACGCGGGACTGACTGACACGTTATTGGTTAAAAACTTTCGGACGATTTCATTTATTGCGGGGTGCACAGGTATATACAAAATAAAACAATAATGAGCGGAACGCAGTAAACACATGTCGGTGAAAACAATTATATAGTTGTCGGTTGCACCGTAACAACAGCGTCAACATGCATCACTGGTATTGAGTAAAAGGAAGACACTCATGGTTCGGGCAATATCTCAAGAAATACGAAATGTATTAACTCAATATTTCGTCGAGTAATAGTTCATAATGTGTCACGATCGCCAGTATAATTTCACAAGAACTTGTCAAACAACAAAAACAATGTAGCCGAAACAACTTTAATGTTCGTAAATGACAAAAATACTCTACGGTTCGGGTGATAAGTCACGATTTACTTATTGAATTTAATTGAAATTCCGTCCAATAATTCTTCATGATGCTTCACATTTAGGAGTATATTTTCATGGGAATTCGTCCAACAAGAAAGAAAATGAGATCAAAACAATTTAGTGTTTTGAATGTAAAAAATAACATCCAAATGAAATCATCCTTAATGGCATAACAAGTCACACTCGTTTAAGGGCAATAATCCAAGAAATTGCAAAAAAGTTCCTTTGTTTATTTTTTTTCAAGAGCATTTACCCAATCACTTTTACACTTTCCTGTTTTTATTCTCGCACGGAGACAAATGTACCAAGCGGTTAAATATTATACATGTTTTTTTTTTCAATAGAGGGCGCGCCACACACACAGCGGCCACTACTGCCTGCAGAGCGTCAACACGGATGCCTCACTGGTGTTGAGTAAAAAGAAGACACTCACGGTTCGGGCAACATCTCAAGAAATACTAAATGTATTAACTCAATATTTCGTCGAGTAATAGTTCATAATGTGAGAAGAGGAAGAGATGTCCGAAGTCATATTGCTGTTAATTTAATGGGTGGGGTGGGCAAATGTCCCCGTGCCCACCCTCGAGAAAAAGATAAATAAGAATATTCTGGAAAAGTACAGGGAATTTTTTTTGGGGGGGGGGATGTGCTGTGCCCCCTCTCGAAAAAAAAGCCTTTATACGATCTCTGTCTGGAACTACAAATATGCAGTGATGCCATGTAGAGGACTCTGTATTGTACATTACTTAGTATGCATACTTCCTTCTTGAATAATTTCATGCAGATATGCTCTGCAAAGCGCCCTCTTCGATGCTCCAGACATCCAGATGTATAGTCGATTTGTTATTCTTGCGCTGCTGTCGCCCACTTAGATGATTCTGAGCTCCCATGAGTCAACATCACCATTGCAATTCCGTTCTGAAACTGTACATTAGGCCTACTCCGTTAGCACTAGAAGACATTATAGTATTGCCCCTGCTTGCTAGCACGTTCTTCGGTTGGCACTGCCTGGTCGGGGGACGCCGCGTGGTAAGTTACGAATGTTTCTTATCGATAATGGAACATTTGCACATGTATGCTGGGTGTTTTTTTTTTAGAAATGCACCTGTTATAATGAATATTGGATAGATCTGAGAAGGAATTGATGTATCATAATACACAAAGTTATATATATATATATATATATATATATATATATATATATATATATATATATATATATATATATATATATATATATATATATATATATATATATATATATATATATATATATATATATATATATATATATGCAATAAATTCAGAAAATTAGTTAAACAAACTTTGGCATATGTTTTGTTTAACTAATATTCTGAATTTATTGCATGTTTATAGCTCTACAGAGATGTATCGAGCACTGTGAATTGTGAAAGAAGACGATTTCATTGGATATATATATATATATATATATATTGAACCTCCAAAAATCAATACATAGGCGTAGCCAGCGGCCTCCCCCCTGCCTTTTCCATTCAAATGCCTCTTTTCACCAGCGCTTACCCCCCCCCCCTTCATATGTGTAAAAAGTCCCATTTTCTCTCCACAAGTGCACTTTTTTTAAATATGTTTTGCCCTTCACCGACATATAAACACTGTCAAGCTCGTCCCAACATACCTGCAACATGTTTTGCGGGGCTCTAGCGATGGTGCGGAAACAAGTACCGCCATTATTCTTAACCATTTCTTCAATGTTGCGGGTATTTTGGGACGTGCTGTTTATACTCAGTGCAGACATTACAGTACTACCCATCGTCAAGGGCATAACCTATTGATTTTAATTACCCCGTCGTAAATTCCCTCTGATGAATTTGAACCATACTCCAGCCTTTATGCCTACAAATAAAATTGTGTGTAGATAGAGGTCTGCATTTAGAATTTGCGTGTAGTGTTAATTTTCGGGGTTTAAATGCCTTATATGAAATTTACCAACTGAAGTGAAATGTAATCCATTTAGTTTTAGCAGAGAAGTTTGGATTCAGTACACTCAGTAGGTTATTATTTTCTTTAATAAGTGTAAACTAAGATCTAATTTTTGTAAAATATGTCTCTTTTGAGTCTCATATCAATTGTATATTTCCTTCACGAGGACCAGAGGTGTACGTAAACATCCGATTATTGAGCGTGTTTGAAACATTTACGGAAATAGATTGCTCTGTGGGAGTAAGCAAATTAAGATAATAACGTTACATCTAAAGGACAATTAGGCCAAAACAAATAAAACTTCTGCTTCCAGTTATACATACTCTATTTTACAGCCCCTACCCTAATTTTGTTTTTGGAAAAATGAGGAAAAAAACGAAAACCATAAATTACTACCTATTACCCTTGACTATACAATGATTAGCACACAACACAACATATACACTTATAACGTTTTCTTTGAGTAGGCCTACAGTACATAATAAAAGCACATCACTTTCTTATTCATAAAAGCAAAGGCACTTTTTTATATATAAAAGCACTGGTACTTTCTTATTTGTTGCTCAGCACTACAGCACCATAATAGCTCAACATGGACGTTGCCCGTGCACTAAAAGTCATGTTCTTTCTTCAGTCGTTGGCTGTACTCGTATTGATCTTTCGTAAGTATTGTCTTTGTTTTATTTGTTTTTATTTTGTACTATAATATTTTGTTTCAATCCTTTAAACTAAATCAGACGCAACAAGACTATTGATATATGCAAACCGTCACGACGAATATTAACTATTTCTAATAACGGTTGAAAAAAAAACAGATATTTCCCCCCCCCCCCTCCCCTTCCAAATGTAGGTGTACATATATCTTCATTTAAAGATAAGGAAATCAGTTTGTGTAAATTTCGAAGACGAATGTTTTACATTTTCAGTTATAATCTTGGAATTTGAATGCCAAGAAATGTTCAAGTGTGCAGTCGAATTCTGTACCGAGTTCGCATACGTGTAGAACATTTTGGCGTGAGTTCGAGTAGAGTTCGAATGCAAGGCATTTTTTTCATAATTACACAGAAGAGTACGAGTACATTTTCATGAGTATAAACAACAATAGTGTATTACCGTAGAAAGTTAGAAAAGTGCAGCACTAGTATTTTCTAGCAACTAGCTACGATGATGCCAACGACCACCACTGGAATGCCAACGAGAGATACAAATTCAAAGCCAATGATCACCGTCAATCGCCCATCCCCCCCCCAATCAACATATTATACAATACCAAAATGTCGTGTAAGACAAACATGCATTACAAATTAACATAAAAGACCGTCAACCTTTCGTTTTAAACTAAAAATGCACTGAATACCAATATTCTCCAAAGACCAACATTCTTTTCAGTTCCAAGATTTCCAACAAAAAAAAGTCGGCGTTCAGAAAGCGGGCACAAAGTCAGGCGGAGGTTTGTGTTACGACCAGTAATGTAAGTCCGACCCATAATGTGATAAAAATCGACCCGTTATGTTATATCGACAGTTAATGTAATAATTTCTACCCGTAATGTAATAAATGAAGCGACCGCTAATGTAATAAAAGATCTACCGGTAATTAATACCAAAAAACTAAAATTTACTCGTAATGTAATATATAATTAGGAGGCTGTTACACGCATAGATTTGCTGGTATTATTTTTTTTTACATTTTGGGGAACTTTGAGTATTTTTGTGAGTTTTGATTGATGATCTATTTTTATTTAATGTCAAGTTTATACCAAGTAACTGGCTTAGAACGGAGTTTTCTTTCGGTTTCCGGACAAATATTCTCCGCAACGTTTCTTCAAAATGAAATGTTGATTGGACATCAATCTTGATACAGATGAGTACCAAATTATTGTGACATTATTGTGACATCATCAGGTATTCAATCATAGACAATTTTTCTTCATAACTGTGCTATTTCTTTCATGTATGACTCGTGAACCAAACCAACAATCATGTTCATAAACACCACGTAATAAACACCCTCAAAAAAGAAAGTCCACACTCATTAGATGGGTCATAATCTTGAATCTGATCGTCTTATGGGGACGTCATAATTATACATCTTTGGGGAATTTTATCAGCTACATCTTGATAACCCGTTTGTTTTACCAAAGACTGTAGATTGTTCAAGATTGACAACGCTTTATGAAAAACGGTGCAGTTTGAATAGTCGCAATATAAAAGATACACGAGGAGAAATGGCTCGACGCAACCAAACGCAACAATTGTCCCCATAGACTGCACAGTGCCCGTACAAAGCGATTTTTATTGAATTTCACGTGCTCTTGTGCATGCAAGCACTGTGCGATCGATATTTCCTGAGCAATCCCAACCTCCTAGATGTTTATTCCAAGCTTGAGCATCGTCACCTGCAATTATGTTACATTTTTGACATTAATAAGTGATGATGCACAAGTATGACCACAAGTTTGGTTGAAATGAACAGAAATTCTAACCCCAACAGAAGCGACAACCCGATTTTGGGTAGTTGCAGTTTTCACCATTGTTGGGTCAAATGAATCCAGGAATTGTTCAGTGCACCTGCGCGATATAGACTTTTGACACATGTTGCCATAGCAACACGTGATTATCGGATGCGCACTTGGCCTTGTCTCAGAAGCGAGCGCGCTATAAATCCACTAAATCCTTTAACTAATGAATGCATAAAGTATTGGTTAAAATGTCCATTGTTCCAACGCGGTAGATAAAAGATTTGCGCAATTATAGACTGTTGTCGTAGCAACTGTTTCCGTAGGAACAGGTGATGCGGGACTTGACCTAGTCTAGGGAGTGAGCGCGCTTTCATAGTTTATTGCTAAAAATTTCTTTTGTTCCCCAACGCGGTAGATAAAAGATAATTGTTGCATAGACCACGGGAGATGCTTGCGGGGAGAGCAAAACAACAACGAGGCCAAAAATAGACCCATTTGCGCAATATAGGCTGTTGACATACCGAATGCGAACTTGACCTTGACCGCGAGCGCGCTTTGTAATTTTTTAATCAATACAGTCATAATTTATTGCTAACAAATGTCCATTCTCCACTCACGTGGTGAATAACAAATGGATGTTGTGCATAGACCACGAAAGATGGTTGCAGAGGGAGCAAAACAACAACGAGGCCAAAAAATAGACCCATTTTTTAACATGTTATTGTTTGATCTTGAAAGGAGTGAGAATTTGAAAGTGGGTTACATCAGCATGCTGTACTTTCCCTTCTTGGTTTTTTTTCTTGCAAGAAGGGCCTATGATACAAATAGAAATGAATTTCAAACTTGGGTCCTGATCCTTCTTCTATTTCTTTGGACTGTACCGGATGACAACATTCCCGTTTTTGAGAACATGACATGCAATGTACCAGTACATAAAATATTTTTAAAGTGTTTCGTTATTTGAAATTCGTGGAGGGTTTATTCAGCGAAACATGTTGGAAATACTTTCAGTTAAAATGTTGTAACTCTTCTTTTTCAGATTGGTCCCGCAAGTGCAATTCATGTGTGATTCTTAAGACTGCAATGATAAACCAAGCTACGGGCAATGTATACAGCAAGGCAACTAGCGTCCCGTTTGCAAGTACTGAGCGTGGACAATTGTCAAATTGCACACTTCAAGACATCCTACAGCGACCCGGTGTGGTAATGTTGACAACAACCAACCTAGGCTTCCTAGACATGACCATGAACATGTTGGCGAGTGTCCGTAAGGTGGGAATCTGTGTCAATTCAACTATCATCGCTGAGGATGAGAAAGTATACCAATATCTGCACAAAAAAGCTGAAGGGGACCCAACGGTGCATGTAGTGATGACCAACTCTGGTCTCATGCAGACTGGCGAAGTGAAGCGCAAAAATGCCCGAACCTATTTTGACCTACTGAAGAAACGCCAGGGGTATTTTTTGAGTCTGTTGGAAGTAGGCATTGAGGTTCTTTTCACGGATTCTGACACCTTTTGGTTCCGAGATCCATTTCCGTACTTCCAGGGAGACTTCGATATGTCTATGATGGACCCGAGATCACCTTATCCGACTCGCACATCAAGGGCACATTACTGCGCCGGTTTTATTTACATGAAGCCAACCAACGTGACACTCCTGTTTGTTAAAGAGTGGATTCGGTCTCTGAAAGGGAAGAATATCATGGATCAGATCGAGATGAACAGACTCTTGCAAGCTGATAAACCCGTGCATGTCAACATCCAACCACTCGACATTAAACTTTTCCCACCAGGGCCTCCGTTTTACGAGTTCTTAGCGAAGAACGCCAGCTACTCTGCTGTTGTGATGCACGCCGCCAGTATCCATGGACACGATGAAAAAGTGCGAAAATTCAAAAGCTCCAATATGTGGTTGGTCAATGCAAGCAGTGACGAGTTGGTTGCCCGTGAGCAATATAATAATTAACTTTCTAAACTAATTACATTTTAAGCAGATGGTAAACTTTCAGTGTAAAAAATACTTTTTAGGCGCATTTTTCATATTTCGTAAAACTACTTTTTAGGCGCATTTTCATATTTCGTAAAACTACTTTTAAGACGCATTTTAATAAGTATTTTTTGATTCTTTAAGATTTGTAAGGTCGTGTAATAAGCATGTTAGGTATTCCAAAATAGTCTGGTGCACAGCAAGATTCGACTATTTTTTTTCGGGATAACAGCAGCAGTTAAATGCACACAAGGCAATGGGGGACGTGGTAACCAAATGCATTATGTGCAATTTTTCGTGCAATCGAAGAGATGGAACTTTCGTTCGCACAAAAATTTCGAACACCTTAAACACGTCTAAAGGTTTTCTAAAAAAATGTTATACTTCAGAACACGATGACCTCTTTAATTTTGCTGGTACCCCGCTATGCTTTTGCACGCATAAGATGCAATGTTTATCCCAAAAGATAATCAGGTATTTCGGTCGTAGGCTTTATGAATGTTGTCGTTTGAGAGAATTATGAATTATAAAATTTAGGTTTTCCCTACCAGTTTTCGAATATTGCTGATCATTTTCATTTTCAGCCGTTCAATTCCGCCCTATTTTTGCACATCTGAACAACAATTTTGGTTTCCTTTTTATTGTTAAGGTATTCTATTTCAAGTTTAAGTCACCCAAGATTTTGCTACTAGCGCTCGCGTTTTTGTTTCGGGGAATTCTATTTTGTTTTGGTGCATTTCAAGACCTCATTTGCAGCATTCTTAAATTAAGTGTTTTGCATCTTTTGACGGTTGACGCATTCACATTAGCGAATGTCGGTGCGCATAATTACGGACTATTTTGAAGTTGGTGGCGCCATTTACACATTTATTATACTACTCCAAAATAGGCCACATATATATCACCATAAATCAAATCGTGGGACTAAAACTAAAAGTTGACCACAAAAACAAACACAAAATTGACAACCACTTGGGGACGGCTTAAGGCACCAATTAAATCAACCAGCTGTAATGTCCTCTAACATTACAGTCGCTGCAGCAAACGGCCACAATTGAGTTTTTGCTCAGCAGATAGCTCTCGTGTGCGGCGGGCTTTATAACATGGCTGCCATTGCCATGGGCGTCGCGAGAGGGGGGAGGGGCACTCCCCCCCCCCCCAGACAAGCAACCCAAAAAAAAGGATTAAAAAAAGGCGCGAATCATATTGTTGCGATAAATTTAATGGGTTGGGCGGCAAATGTCCCTGGCCACCCTCGAAACAAATATCAATCGGGAACATGCTGGAAAGTATAGGGATTTGAGGGGAAATTGGCTTTGCCCCCTCTAGAAAAAAATCCTGGCGACGCCCATGGCCATTGCTTATTATTCTACCTTTATTTTTTCAAAGGACAAATCTGCGAAGACGTTATCTTTCTCATGACATACTCTGACTGTGTGCCAAATGCCATAATAGTATGCAAAATCACATAGATGCCGTACTATTAGGCTTCAACGTGTCAGGTGACGTCAAGAGTTTGCAAATGGCCGGTTGTTTTATTTGATACGCGGATTATGAGACTGCATGGTGGTTATATGCACGTGTTCCCGAAAGCAAACAAAACCTGCCGCAACAGATGCTAACATAGTGACAATGGACAATCGATGCACAATAGTACATATACTGTTGACTTTAGACTCACCAGATAAAAATCACAGTCTGGCCTTGGGCACTTACGTACTTTCACTGGTCATGAGGAAATGGTACGTTTCATCCTTAGATTACGATATTGGATCGAAAGCAGTTTCACTGTCGAATAAGAGGTACGTATACCATTTCCTAATTTAAAGGAAATCCTTAAATTTTCAGCATATTAATTTCGTTAACAAGTTTATAAACATTTTGCGATTTTTTTACTGGCCGAAAATCATATAGGCTGAATTTAACATGAGACCTAGCTCCTCCGACACATCCTGTACACAATTTTATTGAGGTTTCTTAGGAATTTGAAAATTGCCATTACATAAAAACAATTGTCAACTTTGTCCTGGCGGCAAGTGCAGGGTGCGACATGTAATATGTGAAGTGGTGTGTCAAAACTATTAAAAACATTTGTTCAATGTTTTTGTTAATTAAATGCTGTCGGGTCATATACCGGAAGTAAAAACCACTTGTATAGATATCAGCCGACAAGGTTTAAAAAACACACGTTGAGACTCCTACATCAAATACTACCCAACAATATTTCCATTTTGGTTTGTCTAAGTCGTTTTTACCAGAAATATAGTTCAGCTATAATGTTGTTGACCTTGGCAGTGGGTTTTTTTATGGGGTCAATAGGCCTTCTATTCGTCCGTACACTATTTAATTTTGTTTTTATGTAATCCAGGGCCCCCAGCTAGGAGAACAGTAATTTCATTGACAACTGATGGGCTACCCTTGTAAAATAACACGAAGTAAATAAATACAAAAATAATTTCTGCCACTACCGTACGTCCAGCAGCTGATATGAAACGCCAAAGCTGCCTTGAAATCCATCATTCACTTCGGCAAATCTATCATTCGACTCGGCCCATTCACCGTACGTACCATTCGGCAAATTCCGTGTTATTCGGCATGTGAGTTTGCCGAGTGGAATAATTATGGATATGCAGACTGAAAAGAGTGCACAGAGGAATGACTGATATGCCGAATGAAACGAATGCGCCGATTCGAAAAGATGGATTTGCCGAACGGAATATTGAGTAATATATATGGCTAGGCACTTCGATGACGTCATGAAAATCGTCCAACCGCGCCATGCACACACACACGTCCACACACAAAGTGCGTCGAACTAGTGAAGGCAGTTTATAGTAATAAAATATTGTTAATAAAAGGTGCTGATTTATGAAGAAACTCATGAAGTATAATTTCCAAACTGATTGGATATTTCCAATGTGTCTTCCTATTTGGAAAAGTTCAATTTGAAGGCCCGCAAACGAGATGACCACCGTACCATTACGAACACATTCTCGTAAAAGTTGGTCCGGTACTTCTGTCTTAACTTATTCTTTATGATGAGGCTTGCGGTTGGTGCACAAAACCCCCTGTAGAATTATTAGCGGCAGCGGACATTACGAAGCGAACGTAGTATATCATTAATCAGCGAATGGAATAAGCAAAGATGAAATTACAGTAACAAAAAAGATCAATACGCAAACCACAACAACAACAAAAGGCAAACCAATAATCAAAGGACAAAGACCAATAAACTGGACAAAAGATCAATACGACGCGTACACGCGACAATGTCAAATAGTGGGCACTCTCCACGAGGACCGTCGTCACAAAAGACGTTCCTGAAGCAAATGGCAAACTTGGAGGAAGTGAAAAAATAGGTTGAAGCAATCAGTTTTCCATGGGTGTAGGTCCCCTGGGCAAACTTGGAAAGGCAGTGAAAAAATAAGTTGAAGCCAGTTTCCCATAGGTGTAGGTCCCCTGGCAAACTTGAAAAGGAAGTAAAAAAAAACAAGTTGAAGCCAGTTTCCCATAGGTGTAGGTCCCCCTGACTGTTTACTGAAGTTATGTCAATCGTGCGTCAATAAACCCCAATTGTTTACTGTAGCCTAGCCAAATTGAGGTATACCCGCAGCTGCGCAGCAACACATATAGGACAGAGAGCAGACAGACACCACACAGAGAGGACTGAGTAAAAGTTTCCACCTAACACCTCGGCTGTTCATGTGGTAAGTTTCATTGCCCAATTCGTAAATCAACCTTTATATTATTCTTATGTCATTCACATCGATACATGTTCAAAAAGTTCTTAAAACATTCTTTTATTCATTCTTTGTTTTTTGCTATGTTTTTATAAAGAATCGTATGACCGTGATTATTAAGAGCACGGAAACAGAAGGTTTGCACGTCTTGTTTTTAATTGTACAAACTTTCGGTTGTCGGTCCTTTTTTTTAATGACCACAATTCCACGTTATTATGGAGAGACTTGCATAGTTGCATAGACCCAGTTTCTTAAGTTATAACCTTCACAATGAAAAGCATTCTTTTTCTCCGAAACTACTCAAGTTTTGGTAATTCAAAAATATTTGTGATATGTTGTATAAACATCATAGAATGGAGTCGGAGGAAGGAACACATGATCATACATGTGTTATTAAACCACGGTCAGAGCAGCTGCATTCCGCATTCCGTATTCCTGTATTGAGCTTGACCTTAAGCTTCTTAAGATCACTTACATACTTATTTTTTGGGTCCGTTTACTGTGACCATGGAGGAAGAAAATGTGACTTATTCCTTTGGACTGGTCGTCTATGGACTAGCATTCCCCGCTTTCATGTGAGAATGGAGCTATAGCTCCATGATGTGAGTAACCCATAAACAAACAGATACGTGGACCCATACGAGTGCACACTGTATACGTTGAGTATTCGTTCCTGTAGTTCCTAGATTGATAAGGTGGCCAGAGGATTTGCATTTCTAATGAAGCTAGGATGTGCCACGTCTTGGCATTGATCTGGGCCGCTGATAGCACTGTCTCCACTGTTGTTAAAGTGTTTTTTGCTAAATAGTCCTTTGTCTCTCTCATAGGTTACAGGTTACTTCGTTTTCACGAAGAGTAAAATTCGGCCAAAAATCCATATTTTTTACATTTTTTTCCGGCCGAAATCGGCTAATTGAACAGCAACGAACGTTTTGACGAAATGTTTGGGTCAAAATCAGTTTAAATTAATAAAATCATGACAACAATGTAGGGAAACGTTCACCTGAATTGTATTTTCAGTTTTCACAAAGAGACCAATATTGGGCCCCCGAAGGGCAAAACAACGCGTTTGTGGGATAAAAGTTTCCACGAAAAGACGAATATATTGCGCAATTATGGGTATAGGCAAATTTGCCCGGCAAAAAAACGCGCGTTTAGCAGTTTAAGTTTTCACGACGAGACAAATCTCTATGGAGTTGTGTCAAAAATTAGTCAACATGTGCTCCAAAAATAGGCGAAATCTTTATTTCAAAACGGGACCAACTCAAAACCCGATTTTCCACTGTTCAACACCCTGCGGACAAATTCGTCCTTTCGTGAAAACGCTGACGATGTATTAGCCATTTTGAGTATGGCGGACAATAGAAGGGCGCTATTTCAAGTGGGTACTTGTACATACCAAAGAGTTTATCCACTCCAAATAGGACCCTATACTATCGTGTCCGCCATACTTCAAACAGGCTAAGAAAATAGCCTCATGTACAATACATTTTCCACGATGGTACAATGTTATAGTAACAAACTACAGGCTGAGTCAAAAAAGCGGATCCCAAACCCCAAAAATTATATTTCATATTCAAAAAAGAATGTGTAGCACCAAAAATAATGACTGGAAAGCCTATTTCATCAGCTGAAAAAAATTACTGAAATTGAAATATGTTCAACTTTTACGTATTCGCAGCGCGAATACCTGCCACGACGTCACAAATTCGCGTTCGCTTTCGCTTTCGCGCAGAGTATGAACCGGGCTTTACCCAGCCTCGCTGCTACCCGGCCGCCGTGGGTTGTACCAAAAGTGAATTTTTCTTTCTGAAATTGTTTTAAATCCAGTCGTACCTGTCGATGGAATAAAATTCACCTTTTCTGCATCATGGCTGGAGGATCATTCCGTACTAAACAAATTTTTTTACAATTTTGTTTTGGTTTGGAACACATTTTCATTACTAACACGGGAATGTGATTATGAAAGCAAAGCCTACACAATCGCTCGGAGGTCGTCAATATATGGTTTTGTTTATTTTCCATATTTCCAAGGGCTGGTTAATGGAAAGCCTATACATTTGCGGGGAAATGTTGGTTAGACCGTCTGTTTACTTTTGACGCAGCAGCTGTACTTTGCCTTGCCAATACGCATTATTAGCATAGCCTTGACCAAGTCTGTCAAGCCCAGCTTTTTCCCTGAACAAACGGTCCGGCAGCCGTAGTACCCTACTTGTTACGGCACACGTACGCCACGCACTTTGCCCGTACGTACGTACGCGGCCGCAGTCGAGGCGTGACTCCCACGGCATGGTACGTTTGTGTACATTGTACAGTGCGGATTTGTGTCTGGGGCGTATCGCACAGGCAAATAAAGCGGAGCTAGCCATTGGGCTGCGCGCGGCGTACGTGTGCCGTGACAAGTAGGGTAAAACGGCTGCCTGACCGTTACTTCAGGGGAAAAAGCTGGGCTTGACTGGCTTGGTCAAGGCTATATTACCAGTTAAGCCAAGAGCCAACGTCAAACTGCTTTTACCTGACAGACAATTCACTGTGCGCAATAAAGCCCTACATTTTAACAAAGAGTACATGTGTAAAAATGATCATTGTCATACATTATTTACGCAAAACGTTTGTGTTGCTTTTGCCGCAGGTATGATGAGGTTAAACGGCCAGCGTATTTTCGCCGGTATTTTGGGGATCGCATCTTTCGTCCTCGTCACTTGCATGATGCGGGAGAAATGGAAGGGCGCCACCAAGTACAGCTTTTCTAAATCGGGTGGGTATATTGCAAACGTAAATTCAATAACAGAAATCTACACAATTTTGGTGTCTGTGTTGTGTTTTTCTCAGGAAACACATGCACCCACGGAATCAATTTGGTTAGATTATGCCTGGCCCATGCAGCTATACATGTATATGACTCGGCGTTTTGGCTATGAAATTAATCATACTTTACTGTTCAGAAATGCTCAACTTTTAATTGTCCACTCCATTATGACCTAATATATAGTATTGTGCATGCCTCGGTACGTGAGGACATAGCCTGGTTCCTAGCTGACATTTCGGTCATCTGACATCTATAAATAGATTCACCCGAACAGTCAGAATGGTTTTGATTGATAACCAGACTAGTAAGAACATACACGACGCGTGAGGATAAGGTACTAATGTCTAAATGTCAAAGTCTTGGATCTTTGGATACGGCGTCTGGAGCTACGGCTACGTCCGCTGTCAGCAGGTACACACGCAAGTGTAATTGTCTAAGAATTATAAAACATTAGTCTGGACGATATTAGGACGCGGCCGGAATGTCGATGACGTCACTGGAATATTAACTTGTCTGCTGCCACCAAGTGGTGAATAATAAAATAATCATTGCGATAAGTGTTAAGTTTAGTGGTTTGTGTTGGGTTTTTCCTATAATGATTTGATTTTACTTTCATTATTTTGGGCTAGATGCCGAAAACATCGTTCCTAAGCTGGCTCAGCTCCAAAGAGACCCGTTCGTAAAAAACGTAAGTAAACCAGTGGGCGTGTCGGATTCTTTCGTAAGCCCCTCCCCCTTTCTTGTTTTGTGTATACATCTCAGACAGTGCTTGTGATGACTGACTTTACACGAGCTACCGTTGTCACCTGACTAAATTACAAATATAATTCATCAGTGCGCACTGATTAACAATCATTAAGGGCCATTCGTATCGCCGAGGCCTGAAAAAAAGTTGTTCTCGCACCGAATTTCAAAACACGAATGGTAACAACTAGAATAGTAAACTCTATCAATATTGTCTCTATTTTTGGACCCCAAAACTCATACCATTTTAAACTACCAATTAAGCCTTTGGTGTGAACAAATGTTTTTCAAATTTATTTTTACTGAAGGAACCCGTCGTGCTTAAAGGGGCATACGGCCTGAAATCCCCCAAAATGTTATATTTTGGATTGTTTATACTTATGCTATTTCAAAGGTCTGCTTGAAGAAGAACTAACCTAATGTCTTACCTGTGCGACAGGATTCACAACTATAGCACTCATTAGCTCGATTTTTGAGAGTCAAAATCTTGACCCCCGAAATTCGTTCTCGCATGTGTCACGCAAGAATAACACCAAAAACGCCCAGTTTTTAAAGGATGGTTGTGTGAGAGTTCACGTTCTACTTTTAAAGGCTCGTTCCAATTTCGTTTTAAACGCGTTTTGTAGCCCAATAGGCGCTAACCAGGACGTAATGTCCCTTTAACCAACTACTTTTTATAATGTATATGCTTTCTCATCATTCAATGCATAATCACATAAGTGACTATCTAAAGCACTGGAATACGTTAACTTTGTTGTACGTTCTTTTACTATTTTATTGTTTAATCACATACGATAGATGATATACAGGGTGATGCAAAAAGAGGGGAACCCACTTTTGACAGAAATTTGCACCTACTTGTTGAGCATATTTCAAAAATAATGGTATTAAAATATTGATCTTTAAACTTAAGTGACGAAAAAATGATTGCAAATGCTTATTTTGTCTCTGAAATATGGTAGATTAAAAATCTCATGTGCCAAACCTATTTGTCCACGGACGGCTGTATTCCATCCGCTTGACCGAGCTAATTCGGAGCTTGATTTGAAGACAAAAAAACACTACACTGGACTTACACGTGGACAACAGTGATTTTTGTGACTTGTATTCCAATTAGCATAATAACAATATTCCTGCGGGGTTTTTTTTGTAAAGACTTTTTTTCACCACGTATGGTTGAAGAGCTATACTTCACTACATTATAAAAACAGTTCAAATAAGTTAAGTAAGTAGTATAAAAATTGCTGTCAAAAGTGGGTTTCCTTCTTTTTGCACCACCCTGTATACTCAAATTAAAGTGCTACTGAAACGTTCAATTTTATACTTTTGTACCTTGTACACTTGTGTAAGATATATCAGATTTACCACTTACATGTGAAGTGACATATGGGGCAGATCTTTATTCCTCTGTGTTATACTTCAGCAGACACTTTGTTATTTCATTGTTACATAATGTAAATAACAAAAACTGCCCTTATTGAGGGCGCACGATGCAAGGGCTCTATATGTGCAGTTAATTGCAGTTACATGTATACAATCATCTGAACCAGGGCTCTAATGAGACGATATTTTTTTATCCATACCTGCAGCTCCATGGGATGGAATCAACCGTCAGTAACACCTCATCAACACCCACGTCTACCATAAGCCTAGAGGATGCCATCCGGAATGAACAAGAAAGGAGACAAGAGATCCTACAGGCTGCTTGCCAAAGTCTCAACATCTCCCGACCCGTGGAGTACAGCCACATGCTTGTCAGTGACCCACACAAGATCCTCTTCAACTTCATCCCAAAGGTGTCCTGCAAATCCTGGAAAGAACTCTGGAGTCAGCTCCGGAAGCTCAACGGTACAGGGAACGTCTCCCTCGGGAAGTACTCGCCAGTAGAGAGGCAGTACCGGCTGGCCAACTACCGCAAAGTACTCTTCGTCCGGGAACCACTAAGCCGCATCCTCTCGGCCTACATGAGCAAGTTCCGCGGCGGGGCGCTGTACGACCACGCCCCGTTGCAGCGCTACTGGGAGAATGCTTTCGGTGTAGACATTGTCCAACGATACCGAGGTGTAACAGTATCAAAACTAGATAAACACAGGTGGTTAAACATCACATTTCCGGAGTTGATACTCTACGTCACGGACTTAGGTAGCGGTATCCGGATGACCGCATTCAACGACCACTGGTTCCCGCAGCACATCGTCTCTCATCCGTGCCAAATCAAGTACGATTTCATCGGTCATTTTGAAAACCTTTCAGTTGAAGGACCGTATGTCCTTCGATGGCTTGGGATAGATCACCTAGTCCAGCTTCCTGAATACCACAACTCGAATGCCGCCAAGAGTCTTGTGGAGTACTACAAGAAGATACCACTCGAGTTGTTTCGAAAACTTGGCGATTACTATTTGGAGGACTACAGACTTTTCGGATACTCTTTGGAGGAAACCATTGGTCGGGTGACTCGAGGTGTATTCCAAAACGATGCGCGGCGGTAGGAAAGTGGAACTAGACTTATTCAGTCGTTATCTGATAATACATCTTTTTCCCCTCCTTTTTTCTTCGTAACAGTGCTATTTTTCCACAAGTTAGATGGCCGTCATTGCATAAAACAAAAACAATCCTAAAAGTAATGAAGAAAAATGTTGATCCGTGACTGGGCTATTCAATGTGATTATCGGTTTTTTTTAATAATCACGGGCGAATGTCTTATTTGTAACCTCATCACCTACCTTTATACTAAAAAAGATATTCAGATAATTAATTATTTCTCAGTTCACAACCAAAGAGCATAGTAAGCCTTTTAAAGGGGTCTTGCATGCAATGACTTGTTCTTCGGAAAATTATTTTTGCAGTTTTCTACTCCTATAAATGTATGAAGGTATTTAAAATCACTTTCGTTAATTTTATTAACACATTTCTTTTCACATTCGAAAACTGGCCATGCTTTTTCGGACAGCTGAGGGCGCTGTTGCTGTGATGTCATTTCAGGAAGACTCTGTTCAGTTTAGGGATTTTCCGTTCAAATTGTGAACCCAAATATTTGTTCATTGAAAATATCAGTTGTGAGAAAGTTTCCTCATTGGCTTACTGCCATGTACCGAAAAAAACAACGAATTGCCAAAGAAAAGAAAATTGACAACAGTAAAGTATCCAAAATTCTGGCAACTTTTGGTGCAGAAATAGCTGTAGACATTAAGGTTTCTGCCCTGAAATGACATCACAAATTTGCTCATGAATATGGAAATTTTCATTAGTTTGTAAACCAAAAAGGCACAAAAATACCCTAAATAATGGCAAAACGAAAATTGAAAATAAGGTTTCTCATTCCCAATCCAAAAGTGTTTTATACGATGAACGTGATCTTAAGAATTTATTGTGGGTTAATAAATATATGTAACAGTTGTACATTTATTTTTGATGAAAACCATGTTTTCCAAACGGTTACACGTGTAGGGCTTAATACTGAGCCATCAAGGATTGTATTCATTGTGAATTGAGATTCAGTTTTTATAAGTTTTGGAACGAAACTATTCTCTTTTGTGCTTGTAATACCCACAAAGTCGCCCCATTATCCCGGCGAGATTTGATGTCTTGCAGAATAAAGACTTTCGCTGTGAATCATAACGGTTGTGCTTTTTTTTTAACTAAATGAAAGCGCCTTTTCAAAAGTCGATTTATTTGTTCACCTGGAAAGAAACATACCTATTAACCTGCCCACTGCACACTCGGTGAACAAAATGTGAGCTTTTCCAAGCAGCTGTCGTACGAACATGCACGCAAGTCGGACATTTTTTTGCACGCATGTCGGACAGTTTGCGCGCAATGTTGCGGCTGTGATTGGTATGCCGGTTCGTTAGTAAAAACGTCATACACGTGCGCGCAACACTGACTACTAGCGAGCGCCCATTGGATAAACGCTCAAGGTGCGTTAACTTCCGGTTCCATGCTATGCTACACCGTGTGAAGTCCGCTTGGTTGAATTGAGATGACGTCACACTTACGAACCGGATTGGTAAGGCGGGGCTTAATGGTTCGGTCTATTGTGACGTCATAAGCCTTTCTGACGCGCGCGCTTCGTATAAATACTTGCAATGTGTGCGCTCGGTAACTAATAGCATTGATGCAAACATTGCTGTGTGAAATTTAACGCACATACGTCTACGGTGAGTGCGCTTCATTTCGTTCGGTCAGGTGGGTCATAACTCGCCAGAATTCCTCAAGTTTTCTTCCTTGTTTCTAACCTTTCTGCACAAATGGGGCAATTACGGCAGGCTACCATGCTACAAAGAGCGCACTCCAGTAACTCGAGATAATTACAAAGACTCCAGCCACTGATACCTGGTCTGTCTCGAGATGGCAGAGGGTGTGGAGCTGGAACGGGTGAGAGTGGTGCCTGGGTCCGAGTCGGAAGGGGGAGGTAGGTTGAATTCCTGACGCACGTCTCACAAGCGTTCCCGAGTCACACCGAACCAAACCATGCTGAGTATTTTATACATGTATATGTACCCGGGTACTTGTTTAAAGTTCAATGTTTGAAACGGGATGACTACGTCTAAAGATCGGCTGTTGCAGTGGTTGGAATTACTACAGAGTCCAGTCAGTGGTAAATCCATACCAAAATAATGACATGTTCAATCATACACAAAGGAACATACTCGTTTTTGTCGCTTTTAATACAATTTAGTGCGGCTCGATTGTTGGACGCCAATGTGAAATAGGTTACATGACATTGTGTAAAAAAATAATTCAGGTTTTCTTTTGTTTGTTGTTTGTGTTTTGTTTGGAGGGTTTTTATATGTTTTTTTTTCAGAGGGGGAGGGCTTCACGTCGTCCGATCACTAGGGCAATGTGTTACTTTAAACGCTCGATTAAGCAAGTAGGGCCTACTCAGCGAAAGCTTAAGTCCTGGTGAAAATGTGTGAGTTAATGTATTTGGGTTTTTCGGCAAGGGTTAAGCTTGGGTTCGGTTCTCTGCTGAAAGCAGTTAGATAAGGCAACAGAATAAGAGATTTGATCATGATGGTCGGGGAGTCACTTGGGGCGATAGGAGATGTTGTCCTCCTCTAGCAATCGTCCAACTGTTGGATCCCTAGTACAAACTGTCATTCCCAATTTCAGGAAAAGCTCAGCTATATACTGCCATGCATCATGATTTTTGGCTAAATCTTGGTTGGCGTTGGTGGTGGTGCGCGGTGGTGGCACTTCGTATAACACCAAAATAAAGCAAACTGTGAACATCATGCAAGGGCTATCGTTATGCAAATAGTGTCGTTAGTTTCCCCTCCCTTATCTATTGGATACGCCTCTCTGTGTGACAAAGCAGCCAATTTGGAAGAAGAAAACAATTTAAACTTACTAAGATCACACTAACGCCACAGGACCGGCAAGGAGCGACAGCGCGGTGCTTGCAGCCATGGGCGTTGCCGTCAAACCACGCAGTAGGCGGCGCCAGTCCATCGCCGAAGCTATGACCAAGGAGAACCTGTTCCATGCTTCCACCAAAGACTTCGTCAAGAGGATCTACCGGAGCGACAAGGCGTTGAAGAACGAGCAGCTCCGACAGCAGAGGTTCAGACATTTCGTCATCCATCCGTTCAGCAACTTCCGGTATTAAATGATACTACGTACCACGGATCCTACACACAAAGACTCTGCGTAAATTCTTGGTTAGACGTGTGATAACGGCCCGCAAAGGTGGGAATACTACGAATACTTGCATGCATACCAATTAAGGCAAGTCCGCCCGGTGCATTTTGTACTAGAGCTCAGAACAGTCGTTTATCCTTGTGTGTAGGATCCGTGCGTTTACCAATGTGGCACTTTATAGCCTGCACTGCTTTTGTAATTTATAACTGGAAGTATATAGCTGCGAATTCCTGTCACCATTTTTGGGGCGGGGGACTAGCAGCTTTGAACATTCTGAAGCGGGAGGAGGCTGGACGCCACCTGACTATAAAAAGAGCTGTTCAAATATTGCTCGCAATATGTATACCCTCTATTAAATCTACTTCGGTATAAATGGGTGTTAGCTGATGGATATACATGTACTATTTAAATGATTAAGGTAATTTTTGCAAAACTCTAAAATTTATGCACTTTGATATTATTGGCAAAACATCGCCAGTAACATCCCCTGCCCACAAATTATGGAAGGGAATGTCCCGCTTCCCCCCCCCCCCCCAGATCGCAGCCCATACTAACAGGACATTGGAATCCCCTTTTATAAAGGGGCCAATACTTGAAAGACCATATAGCCTACGCAACAGCCTGTGGCCAAATGTAACATGTTTTTATTTGCAATGGTCTGCTTCTTCCTGCAGCTGGTACTGGGATCTGTGGATGGTGTTCCTAATGTCCATCACCTTGATCCTCCTGCCGGTCAACATCGCCTTCTACAGCAACCAGTTCTCCATCTCCTGGACTATGGTCAACTGCTTCACCGACAGCTTCTTCCTGATCGACATCTGTCTCAACTTCCTGACTGGGATTGTCGACCACCAGAACGAAAATGTACGTTATCTCGACAATAAAATGAACGTTGTCTCGACAATCCCATACACTGTCATGTCGACCACCAGAACGAAAATGTACGTTATCTCGACAATAAAATGTACGTTGTCTCGACAATCCCATAGACTGTCGACCACCAGAACGAAAATGAACGTTATCTCGGCAATGCCATGTACTGTCGACCACCAGAACGAAAATGAACGTTATCTCGACAATCGCATACACTCTTGACCACCAGAACGAAAATGTACGTTATCTCGACAATCGCATAAACATGTACACGGTTCATTCAGAATGATGTTTTGTCAACCTCGTCCCCAGTGCTTACTTTATTTCCAACACGGTTTCCAATAGTAAACCCTGGATAGGAAACTTTCTTCCTGTATCCTGATTGGATACCGCAATTGGCTAGTAATGGATTTTTATCGTGTACTTGGTGCTATTATTCACAACGTGCAGTACGTGTTTTCGCGATCATTCGTCCACGCCTTCTCGAAAATACTAATTTCCTTTCCAATTTGCTCATATTAATATAAAATATGATACTGCAGGTTGTCTTGATAAGATCGTAACAGTTTGATTTCAAAAATCGTGTTTTCGTAACTCACGCCGTGCTCGCGCTGCTACGAATTGACTCTGTTTTTACCCCAGACACCGCATACAAAAACAAACGCTAATGTGTAACGCATATCCAGGCACCAGACTGTTCCTCATTTGCATACGTGTGCAAAATCTTGCACATGCAAATGATCCAATACCAGGGTGAGAGAGCAGATAGTGATGGGCGCGTACTGCTCGACACCCTGGGTACGAGGTTGATGTTTTGTAGACCTCGGGGAATTTCCTTGAGGAAAAAAAATCATTCAATTATCGAAGTTGACAATTTGACGCAGCTGCATGGCCATCATTTTTCAATTGAGGCTTTTTTTATCGACACCTTTAACAATTATAGTACTGGAGTTGTCGACCACGAGAACGAAGAACGACCACGGCTAGTAAATAAGATTTTTTTCACAACTTTCTTTTTGACATCTAGTCTCGAAACATTCGCAGGAAATGTGTCCAACTTTTGCAGATCAATTAGCCAGTTAGCCCTGACGTCACACATTCGCATATCATCATCGCTTTCGCGCCGAGTATGATCGAATCGGCCTGAAGTCGGCGTGCACTCAAATACAAATAATTTCGCCTTCAAAACGCTCTATCAATCCGTTGTTTCGGTCCTGAAACTCCAAAAAAAAAAATCAATGAATTGTCTTCTTTACATACCCTTATACAAGTAGCCATTGTTCGCCTTTTAGATATTATATTTTATTTCGTTTTCTGGTATAGGTGATTTTAATGCGCAGGCGAATCGCCTTGCGGTACCTCCGTTCCTGGTTCTTTCCCGATTTCATTTCGTCGTTTCCGTTTGACTACATCTACATCTTCATGCAAGGCACCACAGACTACAAGGCGAGCTCGACTTCACTGACTCTGCGTGTATTCAGGTATAGCATTGAATCCAAAGAATTCACAGAGAATCACCAAACTGGAGTATTTAACCCCGGGCGGTATCGAAATTAAAGCAGTGTCCGAAATGGGTATCAGTGTATCGCAATCAAATTGCACACTCTAGTAAGTAGGTCGTGATAATTATTTCAGATCTGCAATCAATTCCTGCATAAGTCAAAGATAGATTTTGACCTCTTCTATCTTCTCTTTGTTCATTCGAATGAAAGGCTTTCACGGTTATAGATAATACATAATAATTACGACGATATCCACATTCAAATTAAACATTAAATTAGAATCTGGAATCTCATTATTGTTTCGTGGCATCAATTTCTTCTGTACTTATATGCGTTTTGAGTAACTTCGTTCTATTAGATTTGGAGCATTATTGTCAAGCCCTGCCCCATGACGTTTTGGCCAATATGACAAATGTCCTATACATGAGTGTACTTAAAGGTTAAACAGCATTTGCAATCATCAAAAAAATAAGAAACCTAAGTTTTCTTCTTTTTCCCCCCGCCACTCCCGGCACAGATTAGCCAAGATTCTTGGTATTCTGCGTTTACTCCGTCTGGCTCGTCTCATGCGATACGTGCACAAACTCGAAGAGGTAAACGAAAAACAAAATTGATCTTGTTTAAAGATATGGAAGCTTGCAAAACGCGGCCGTCTTTGTTTTCTCGATAAATTTCAAGCAATTAATGCTCTGTATAAATAATTGGCCTAGATCTCTGTTAAGAACTTCAGTACACACTGATTACAAAAGAAAAATAGATAACATCTGGAAACAACTACATTTTCAAAATAATTTTACAGAATTTAATCTCAAACCAAACTTACAACGAAAGCATATAGGTAAGATAGTTATGATGTCCTTACCCACCCCACGGCTGAATTGCAAGGGTCAGGCGCGCCCTTGATAAGTCAGACAAACCATAATTAATTCAACATATTGCTTCGCTGGCGTGAAAAAATAGTTCTATTACAAAATTAACGACTGAAAAATAACCTGATTGTCATACTAAAGTTTCAGGCAGTCACATAATCTCTCATTCGAAATCTAAAATGGAAGAAAACTCACTGAGCACTTAACCCATTACTCCCTGCAGCATCCAAAAAAACTCACACAGGCCTACCTTATATAATACCTAGTGTGGACATGTCTTTGTTTTCTCGTAGTTAAGAAACACCGGAAGATTTTTTTTTAAATTTTACTCGCACTGTGAATACTCTTTCAACCCATTTTTTTTTCATGATTTCCTTGAGTGTTCCTCTTCATTTTGCGACAAATAACCCTAACCCAAGAAAAAATGCCTCTTAACCAGTTTCCGAGAGGGGGAATTAAGCTTGTGTGGACCTGGCCTAGTCCACAGACGGTTCACACAATCTGCATCGTGTGAAACTGTTTTGTTTTTAGGTCCACACAACGATGGCACGGTTGGCACACCCGTTCACTCAATTGTTTTATGCATAGAGTAAAATTAATGCAATGTAATACAATGTAGTACAATTGCTAATGCGTTGGTTTCCCCCCCCCCCCCACCCCCATAAGTCACTTGGAATAGATAGTGAAATGTTCCCGCTGTCTTTTTATCAGATACTAAATGTCGAGGGAGCAGTCATACGCATCGTGAATCTCACATTGGTTATGCTTGTTGTGATCCATTGGAACGGATGCATCCAATTCTTCATCGCATTCGCTCAGGATTTTCCGACGGATAGTTGGGTTTCCATCAGTGACCTAGAGGTATACAAAAAAACACAAATGCTTTCACACGAATTCATAGTAAGATATCCCGGGTCAGAGTTTACCCAGAACCTGGGTCCTACTTGACCTGATTCTTTTCAGAGTCAATATGACACTTTTCCCGAGTCAAAATGACGCTTTTGCCAAAGTCAACTTAACATGACCCGTAAAATGAACTCATTTTCTCATCATTCGTGAAGACATTGCCTGCTTCTTGAAGACATTGCCTGATTTGCTTGCAGCACGCGGACAAGTGGCAGCAGTATTCGTGGTCCTTCTTCAAATCAATCTGCCACATGCTGGGCATCGGCTTCGGCCGCCATGTTCCGCAGAACCTGATCGAGATGTGGGCGGCAACTATCAGCATTATGCTGGGGGCGACCTTCTACGCCCTCTTTGTCGGCCAGATGGCGACCCTCATGTTGTCTATTGATGCGTCTGGACGTATCTACAATGAAAAGGTGAACGCAAAAATATACAAGCCTATTAGATTCAGCAGTCATCTGAAAAAATCGTCCTTACAATTCCTCACATCAACATAGTGCGGCCCTCATAAGTCCTCACAAGTCAACACACACTACGGCCTTAACAATGTAACTTATCACAAGTCAACACAGAGTACAGTACTCAGGTCAAGTCCTCACAAATCAACACACAGTACAGCCATCAAAAGTTTTGTCCTCAGAAGTAAACACAGGTAAACCTCACAAGTCAACACACACAATACAGCCCTCACACATCTAGTCCTCACAAGTCAACACAAACACTACGGCCCTAACAAGTTAAGTCATCACAAGTCAACACACACTGCAGCCCTCACTTGTCATCACAAGTATAATACACAGCACAGTCCTCACAATTAAGTCTTATCCTCACAAGTATAACACACGTACAGACCTCACAAGTCAAGTCCTCACAAGTCAAGTCCTCACAAGTCAGGACTTAGTACAGCCCTCATAAGTCAATTCCCCACAAGTCAACCTACAGTACAGACCTCACAAGTCAAGTCCTCACAAGTCAACAACTAGTAAAGCCCTCATAAGTCAAGTCCTCACAAGTCAACACACAGTGCAGTCCTCATAAGTCTAGTCCTCACAAGTCAACACACCGTGCAGTCCTCATAAGTCTAGTCCTCACAAGTCAACACACAGTGCAGCCCTCAGTAAACTCCTAAAAACACAGAGCAAACCTCACAAGTCCAGTCCTCAAAAGTCAACACAATTCTTTTTGTTTAAACGCTTGATTTTGATTTTCTCAGGCAACTCATTATATTCCCGTAGATCAACCAAGTAAAGGAGTATATGCGATATCGCAAGGTACCATCAAGCACCCAGAAGCGTGTCCTGGAATACTACGAGCACCGTTACCAGCGAAAGTACTTTGATGAAGACACCATCTTGCGAGAACAGAACGACCCTATACGCAGGGTAGATGAAAATTACGTCAAATTGATCTTTATCAAAAAAATTAAATAAATAAAATTGATCTGTTATTCTGTTAACATGTGTTAGTTCACACTGTAGAAAATGGTGTTTAGAGTTTCAACCAGTGGCGGCGCTACGGGGGGTGGCATGGGTGCATGGGGGGTCCCCAAGTTGTTTCCTTGCCCCCCCCCCCCCCCCACCCGCCCCAGTTTAAAGATGAATTATGTTATTTTCTTCGCTGTTAAGATTCATAACAGGTTCAAGATAGGGAGTGAATCATCGGTTCTGTGGACACATTTTGGGCCAATGAAATCATAAACATTGGCACCGTGGTAGACATAAGCCGTACATTGTGTGCAGCCAACGTCTTTGTACATACATTTGTTATACAACATTCTGCGACGGTTTGACTGCCCCCCAAAATATTACCTTGCCTCCGATCCGCGTGGCACATAATGCAAATATTTGGACCAAAAAAATAGAGTTCAGAACGTAGCATGCGATATTTTTTTTTCAAATCAAAATACAGGTACAGTTTAACACTTTTATTACATAATTCGTGGGTTTTTAAGTCGGGCGACCGCATCAGGTGAGAAAAATTTAAAGATTCATTTGGAGGCCGAAAATTATGAAGTTTGTCCTTTTCTAGCAGCATTTTCCTCAAAGGCACCGAATAATATTTACCTATATCTCAGGAGATTACCCAGCACCGTTTGCGCTCCCTTGTCCGGAAAGTGGACTTTCTGAATCAAGGCAGCCCAGAATTTGTCCTTGACGTCATCGAGAAATTGACCTTCGAGGTCTACCTCAGCGATGACGTCATCATCACGGCTGGTCGCCTAGGCAACGTCATGTACTTTATCGAGCACGGCACGGTGAGCATCGAGGTGGAGGGACGGACAGTGGGCACGCTGCACGATGGCGATCACTTTGGCGGTGAGATGTCTTTTTTAGGATAGAAGAGTTTCGTTTTTTACTGTAAAAGCATTGGCGGATCTATACAGGGGAGGTAATGCGTAATGCGAGGTATAATGCGTTCCTGGTATCCATGCGTTTCCTGAAAGCTAGCTCTGCCTCTGATATGAGGACATAGGCTAGCCCATGATGAATGTCAATTATCCTGATGTTGAGTATTGAAATATTCCATTCATAATGTGCTACTCTCACACGGTCAAAACGGAGGAATATGTCCACATTATCTCCCAAGATTTACATGGTGATGAAGGTCAGAGGCAGTGGAATAACGTGAATAAGAATGAGTGACAATTATCGTGAGTTGTGGTTGTGTTTGTGTCCATAGAAATTGCTCTCCTTATAGACGAGCGCAGGGTGGCGTCCGTCATAGCGAAGACTACATGCGACATCTACAGTCTCAACAGAGAGAACTTTGATAAAGGTACCATTGCAGATTTCATAAGATACCGGTATCCGGTATCACTGCGTCATACACGCGCACGCCGCGCACGCGCCAATGATTCAGCGCCCATTGGCTAAAAACGCCATCGTACTTTGCATTATGCTACTCCGTGTGTAGTGGGCGTGGTTTAAGTTGAAATTACGTCACATTTACTGACCGGATAAACCTGGTGTAAATTGTCTATTCCAATTTACAGATAACCCATCGCAGGGCAGTTGCTTTGCACAATGGTTTGCAAAAATAGTTTGGTCAGTGAAGGGGGACTCCCGAGTGCACACTCTTCACGGCACTGATTCGTATAGACCGCTTGCAGATGCATTCGATAATCGACGCGCGAAGGCGCGCGACGCCATGTTGTGGGACAAGCGTATATCTATCCATGCACATTTTGTCCCACAACATGGCGTCGCGCACCTTCGCGCGTCAATTATCGATCGCGTCTGCAAGCGGTCTATATCCCGGTTCGTGACTGCGTCATGCACGCGCACGCGCCACTGATTACAAGCGCTGATTGGCTAAACACGCCACGTTTTGTTCTACTTCCGGTTCCAATGCAACACCGTGTGCAGTGGGCGTGGTTTAAGTTGATATGACGTCACACTTACGACCAGGATAGGCTGCCGGCGAACTGAAAAATATTATATGCATGGTGTTAAGGATTTTTATCTCAATGCTTTTCGATCGCCAGTGCTGACCGAGTACCCCAATATGAGGAAAATGATGGCCGCCGTGGCAAAGGAACGACTGCAGAAAATAATCCAAAGCAACGCAGAATCATCTGATGACACTGAGGAATTTCATATGGCAGAAAGCAAGTAATATCTGAGGAAAGTCAACAACAAAAAGGGAAATCAAAATTGGTAATGAGTCATTGTTCAAGGAAACAAGGCAAATGTCCAACAGAAAATCAAAGATTCAAGAACAAAATGCCTTTTTAAGATCAAGATTTATGATGCGAAAAGACAATCAGAAACACCCATTCAGTCCAATTCAACTTTATTGGAAAACAAATCACGATTGTTATGTACAATTGACACGCCAGGTTTTTAAGTTATTTTTTTCAGTTTGCATTTTCTTTGAAACTTTGTTAAAGCTGTTTTTCAATGATTAAAATATTTTAGCAATACGTACACACCCAGTGAACATTATTGTCTGGTATATAGTTTGATATTTTTTAACAACTAGTACCCTTGTGCGTGTACCAAAAGTTTGATAACTAAAATCTATTCAGTAGGAAACCTGGGGGAGATGTAATTGACAATAATGACTATACAGGAAGTCACTTTTTACATAAAAGTTGTTTCATAAGTACTCAATCATACAATTTTTCGACACAGTTAATTTCTAACATAAAAGAAACGGGATATTTTTACAAATTAATCCAAATCTTTGAGAGTTTTAGTGAATAAATACAGCAGAGGTACAGACAAATGCAAGTAGTGAAATTGAAGAACACAATTTTTATAGAATGCAATTCCAGACCTAATTACACTGCAACCTTAAACCTTTTCTGAGATTTGTAAAATTTGAATAGCATTTGGGTTCCCTACAAGACATCAATGAAATAAAAGACAGATTATCAAGCTGAACTTTCTGTCTTAATTGCATTTTGTACTTTTAAAGGTTGGGGAACAACTGCTGTGCACACATTTTTTTAATAAATATTTTAAGATTTTGGTTGGATAGTGTACTTTCCTAGACAGGGTACCTAGTTCATGCCAGAGACCCCCTAGTCTCCTCATAATTTGCCATACTTCAACTAGTTGGGAAAAAGTACTCTTCAAATGTTAGGCTCAGTGGGTGATTCTAAAGAACCCTTAAGTTCCTAGTCATTTGTACTCTCCAAATCCAACACACTGGGTCATGCCAGAGAACCCTTAAGTTGCTGATAATTTGTACTCTCCAAAACCTGGCTCCCAAATAAGGTCATGCCACAAACTCCCCAAGTTCCTGATAATTTGCCTTGTTTTTGTTTACTTCTTGCTTTGTGCTTCATTGACGGCTTGCACACACTTTGCCATGGTTAAGGACGCGCGGCTGATGGGGTCTGTCATGTAGAAATCCTTGAGTGACCTTTGTTTGACCTCTAGCGGCTTGCCCGACTGTTGTGCTCGAACACCCTGAAAACAAAATTCATTCCAATTAATTTAGTGAAACATGTAGTTTGAAAATTTGTAAAAAAAAGACACATCCTCTCTGGTGTGGCGATCCCCCCACAGCGGCATTTCATGGACTCTAGTCTGGCCCAATCGCTTCAAAAGAGAGATGAGCACTCCGTTCCTGTGAATACAGGTTCGCACCCTGGGCATGGGCAAAAGCATTGAGGCAAAACAAGAAGGGTGCGTTGAAGTTTTAAAGACTTGTGGGGTTAAAACCACTCCAGCGTTCCTACCTTAGCCAGTGCCTCGGCCTGAGCAAAGAAGTTGGCATCCTCTACATCCCCGTATCTGGTCAGGTTGGGGGATACCTCCATGAGTCTGTGCCTGACGTCGTGTATCTCATCATATGGTAGGGCATGGCCCGCAATCTGGACAAAAAAAACCAAAGAAATCCTACAGTCAAATCGCTGGATCAAAACAAACACAAGACAAGGCAAGCGTAGTAAATCTGGTCAGTGGCCCACACAGAATTTTATTCAATCAATTCAGAAACATAGGAGTATCAATTATTGTGTACGACCTACCTCCGACAAGGCTCTGATGATCTTCCAATCCTCCCGAGCATAGCCTGGTGGGCTGACAGCAAGTCTGATATGAAAAACAAATATATACAATATAAGTACATTGACATGGATCCACAAAATTTACCATAAAAGTAGGGGACATCATTTTGTCAGTTCTGCGTTTTTTTCGTCTGAAGCAACAAAAGCGCTCAAAATCTAAAGAAGAGTGCTTAGAATATCACGTTTGAAGATTTTTTATGCATTTCTCCTTCAAAATTAAAAAAAATTATAACTGATGCAATAGCAGAGTAGTTCAATAGCCAAAAACAAATTCTATTTTCATAAAATCACGTTTATTTAGGAGACATAAATTACTAAAGATATTCGTCACTTCGTCAAAATGAAAATTCTACTTCGTCACATGTAACATATCATGTTTGTACACAGCGCTCATATGTAAAATGTATATAACTGATAAGGCAGATTTGTCACTCCGTCAAAACGCAAATCGTGGAGGCTACATAAATCTAAAAATAGCACAGGCTACATAAATCTAAATATAGCACACGTATCAAATCAATGAGACTTAAGTGGGGAATAGAGATTTGTCACTTCGTGAAAACTGAATGTGTCACACATTAATTACTTTGTTTAATTACCGTTATTAACCAACGGTGCAAGTTTGTGTCTCAAAATTTGGTAATCATGTAGAGGACCTCATAAAATGTTAGAATATCCAAAAATCTCAAATTGCTTAAAAAGATTTGGACGGATTTGTAACTCTGTCAAAACAGTGGTGATTTGCTCGATTATAATGCTTGAGGTATACTCAGAATTTCTCGGGTTCGGGTGCCGAAATTCTCAAGAATGGATAAGCCTTATCATGATGATAGGGCCCTCTACTGCCAGGGACTGGCTGAATTAGGCGATCAAAAATCCAAATCCAGTCTCAAGACTACCAAGTTGGTTGCACGCCTTACCTTGTTTGTTGTGCTCGTCCCTCCGTATTGACGTATGTAGCAGTCTTCTCAGTATAGGCAGCCCCAGGCAGGACTACATCGGCCACAGTGGCTCCCTCATCACCATGATGCCCTACAAAGATAGAACATGCTGGAACACTCCAAATGTAGTCATAAATACCTAAGACAGTTTAACCATTCCTATTGGTTGAGAGCCCGTCTTAAACCGATGATAAAGACATGGCTAGCTGGTCTTAAACACTTTTCCAGTGTCACATAAAATTTAGACTCCTAAATCCAGTGCCTCTTACCGTTTTATTGGTTTAACGCCAGAGCGTTCCAGTCCAGGAACACGCCGTTCCAATAAAAACGTTCCGAGCGTTCCGACTTATGAGACGCTCCCTTACCCTGATATACAATGAAGCAATCTTCAGGCAGGTCTGCTCTTGAGACGGTCCCCCCATCAGCTCCAAGCAGGAACAGGACTCTAGGTGGTTTCTCCCTGATGCAATCTACACCGGCCTGGTAGCCCACATCAAGAGCTGCTACCTGACTAGCCACCTTGAACACGAGACAAAGATAAGTTTTTTTTCAGTAAAAATTTTAAGAATATATATAAAGCAATGGGTACTTAACAAGTATGGACTCTTGACTCCATCACTCACCCTGTGTAGCACATTGAGAACCTTCCAGTCGTCGCCAGCCTGACTGGATGCCTTGGCCTTCTGGGCTAGACTTGCCACCAGTGCATGTATGGTGGCGCCGTCTTCACGCTGGAGAGCCCCACTGCCGACAACAATCATAGGGTGCTTGGCCTGGGCTAGCGTGGGACTGAAGGGGTGTTTACCATCCACGAGATCCTGCAAAGCGCTGACGCTGTCGCCTAGGTGCTGTGGTGGGGAATAAAAACAATTATCACTGGGGTTGTCGATTTCATTAAACCCTTATTTTCTCAAAAGGCCCGTGCAATGTAAATGCTTTAATGCATCCTTCACAATGCACCTTTGAATCCCATTTAACCTTATTTTCAATTTTTGTTTTGCAATTTTCAAGGGTATTTTGTTGCCTTTTTGTGTTTTATGCTCATGCCAATTTCCATATTCATGAGCAAAAGTGTGATGTCATTTCAGGCAGAAACCTCAATGTTACAGTTGTTTCAGCACCAAAAGTTGCAAAAATTTCTGACGTAAATTTTCTGTTCTTTGGTGATTCTTTGTTGTGTCAGTACATGGCAGTAAGAAAGAATGCCTTTCTTACAATTCATTTGGACTGCTTGTTCTGACTACAGATTACATGGTTTGTGAGGACTTATGATTGACTTGTGATTGACTTGTGATGACTTACGACAACTTGTGATAAGTTTGATACCACATCTCAAACATAAAGAAAGACACTTTTTGGATCTAAGCAAAAACTCACATCATACTCATAGGTCAAGTCCACCTTGTCCCCGACCATAGCAACTCGGAGGTCGTTATGAATCCAACTCTTGCGTAGTCTGGTGTTGAAGAGTGGTGCTTCAAAGCGGGCATTGGTTCCCACCAGCAGAACCAGGTCGGCCTCTTCCACACCGGCAATGCTGGTGTTCAACAGGTAGTTAGAACGCAGGTCCGTACTATGTGAACACACAATAGAAAAGGCAAGATACAGTATGGAAAGACTCAAGCATTGTTCCTCCTTAAGATTTAAGATAAGAAAAAGCCTTTTCTTATCATCCCACTTTTTGTTTTTGAAACCATTGTAAATTATGTTACATCATATCTTACCCTGCAGCATCCATGGGGAAGATTTCTTCCGTGCACAGAGCCTCAGACCCTAGCTTGTTGAGAAGATCCTTCAGAGCAACTAGGGCTTCTGCATCTACCAGACCTCCAGCAATGGCTGCAATATCACTGCCATCAGTATTGTTTAGCTTAGGAACAAAAACAAAGCAAAATCATTTCAATCTTTAAAAGGGTCCACGATATCAAATGTCAAGGCTGCCTAAGGCGCTTTACATGCCTTTAGCTCGATCACGTTGTCGCTGTGCCCTTCGCAATTCAGCTTCTCAGCTGCAAGTCAGGAAGATCAGCCCCCAAATTATTATTACACAATGGGCCGGATTTAGGCTATACGATAACAGGGTCATCCTATACAATAGCACTGCCCGGCTCATAAGTGAGTCACCAGTGAGTCCGTCGGTGAGTCAGTCAGTCAGTGAAGTGAAAAGAGGACGTTAGGCTGGCCCTCTGGGACCAGCACAAACCTACCTCCACCGCCACTCGAGTGAGGGCGTCCTCCCAGTTGGTGGGGGTCAGGTTCCCTTCTTCGTTCTTGACCATGGGGATGGTCAGGCGCTGACGCTTCAAGCCGTCGTAGGCAAAACGGGTCTTGTCAGATATCCACTCCTCATTGATATCCTAAGCAGAGACAATATCGGAATGACTTTCAATTCTCGGTTTTTATTTAAATTTTTTCAACTTTTTAAAAATTGTGCACATCCTAGTAGGAGAAATGGGATTTTGCTACAACTTTTTTTTTTTCGAAGCCAACAGTGACATCAAACTATTTGTATAAAAAAACAAACACTGGCTTTGTTATAAATGCGCATGTGGGGATTTACACACGGTGTAAATACGCAAAGTGCAGTAGACTATCGCAAGGGTTACCCATGCGACAGTCTACTATTTATGCAGTGTTATGGGCAATGGTAGAGCTATTGCAATGGGAACAGTGTAGTACGCTCGCACGCGGAATGCATAGAAGCACGACTGCAGGCACTAAGCATGGACTCTCATTTAACGCTTCAGTTGAAACAGTGCAGTTCCTTTGCCGGGCTCCCGAAATTTCAAAATGGTGGTAACTGATTATGTACGAGGTACAAAATATGAATTTTTATGAGTGCAATGGTAAGAATAATTTCACGAGGTGACAGATGGAACGTTCCAATCCACAAATAGGTGAGTGGAATGGAACATCCCATCTGTCACCGAATGGAATTATTCTTACCATTGCACAAATGTGAAACATTCGTTATTTGTTTTATACAACCCCTGAACAAATCCTTGTCATCTGATTGGTAAATAAAAGTGTGATGCTGCAATTTAACGTGGAATGGGACGTCCATTTTTTGCATTGCGACCAGGCCGTGGGTTGGGACAAATAATTCAATGGCATGTGATCAACGACCAACCAATCAAATGAAGGGGGTTTATTCAGGCATTGTACAATCGCAATTAGCATCGCAAGATGACAAGCTATGTCTTGAGACTGACCTCATGTAGTCTAGGCAGAATCCTCATGACTTCCCCGCTGCGTGTACTGACCACGATGTTACTCCCCACGGCATCCAACACATCAATGGATTCTGTCTTTCTGGTTTCCCAGGGCCTGGCTGTGAAGGCGTAGGGTTTGGATGTCAACGCTCCTACTGGACAGAGATCTATTTAAAGAGAAAGATAATTTGGCCACTAAACGTCATTGCAATGACAGCACTGGACATAGATTTGTTATTAAATGTCATTGTAATAGAAAGAAGAGTTCTGACAATAACACGTTTAATAATTGTAGCAAAGAAAAATTTACCAGTAAAAGGTATGCAAAGTTTCAATAATAACAGTCGGAAATATGCTATTAAAAAGGTTGCTTTCCATGTGTTCTTCACCAAATTCATTTTTTCCTCTCTTGATTGAGGATGGTTCCTAGCTAAAAGGGTCTGGGGGTTAGGGTGAACCCTTTAGTCACTGTAGCGTCCCAAACCACCTGACCTGTTACTCCCTGTAGCGCCCAAAACAGCCCAGCACTCTATGGTTTTATGGAGTCATCAGTAAATAAACACAATGTAATACAATGTAATACATTGTAATACAATGTAATACAATGTTGTACAGGTGTTATTGGGTTGATAAATATCAAACGAGTGTTGTTGCCGAGTCCTGTTGCAGATGAGTCTTGTTATTTTCAAAAGAATTAGAAGTTCCAAGTTCAGTCAAATTGAACATTGCTGAGGATTAACTTACCAATAACGTTTCCTGACATCTCAGACATGAACATCTTCTCAATGTAAGTTCCAACCTGAAGCATAGAGGAAAATGAGTCAGTATTACAATGTGGTTGATAGCATGCTAATAGAGAGGTTTCACAAGCCAACGGTCTACGTACCTGCATGTCACCACCTCGACCTGTGGTTCCAAGGTCATCCACCCCTGCAACCTCACTGGCAAACCTGCGGCAAACACACAACCAGGGAAGTAGCTTGAGACCAGCAGATGGGTATTTAATTCATCAAAAGTTGGGCAAATTTCAAACACGTTTCTAGAATGGGCAATTTCATTTTTCCTAAAGTTATCAACTGAATTTTTGCAAACACTGCAGTGTATCTAAAAAAAAGGTTACCAAAATTCAAAAATTATGTATAAAATTGTGTATTTGAAGCATGATATGGCACATTATTATTTTTTTTTTTTGCGTTTTTCTCCACTAAGGCCGGTTCCCCACTTCCGTCTCTTTTCGCCAGAACGCCTCACACATGCTATCCCCTCTGGGTCTAGCAACATGTGTTACCCACTGAAACCACGTATGTGAACACAAATTCCTGTACCCTCTTCAAACGCAAATCCAATCATGTCAAAAATGACCCACCTGATGCATCGTGTGCAGTGTATACACCGCGTCATGATGGTCTTCACTAGGGGTCCTACGTTCTTATCTTCCACAGCCCTCTTGCCAGTGAACTGGTTGTCAGTAAAGCGGCTGCGATCGCTGCCAAACGCCATGGACTGATCCTGTAAACGTCAAAGGCCAAATGACAGTTTATGATCCGTCAATTTAATTCTTTGGGTAATTCTTTAACCAGTTCAGGCCGTGATTATTTTGACATTGACCGAAGCCAGGCGCAGGATTGTTTTTCACGAACCTCGATGCCAGACGGGTTCAGACCCTCATCTGCGGGCAGCATATCCTAATATTTCCGGCCTCGCTTGCTGCGAGCGGGTTGCTGACAGATATTTCAGGCCTCACTCGTTGCGTGTTTATCCGTCATCCATTCCGAATACCACAAAACCTTTGCGTGTACACACGTTGGATTTTATATATGTCATCTGATGAGAAGTGGTTAACAGTAAGCTTGTAAGCTCCTAAAATGGTGCTTGCTAGAGATGAAGGGAATATGGTGGTTGTGTTCTTGGGCAAGACACTTTTCTGCAATTGCCTCTCTCCACCCAGGAGTACAAATGGGTACATGCGTGGGTAGAGACCAGATTGCACTGATCTCGTGCTGCTGCAGAAAACCTGAAACTGGTGTGAGACTTTGGTAATAAGCACCAACTTATTGACCTAATTATTAATTAAAATTCAAAAATACCTGAGACAGTTTACCCATTCCTATTAATCGTTGTGTTCTGCGCCACATCGCGCAGTATGCAACCCACGCGCCCATTTCCATGTAAGGAGTTTTTAGCACTACACGCACGAGGCGCATACCATAGACGTGGCCAGCAGGGTGTTTCACAAAATATGAAGTAAAATTGTTGAACAAAATTGTTGGAAATGTGTGATTTTCTGACTTGTTTTGATGTATTGACAGAAAGGTATTTATGAATGGGAATAAATATGTGCTTGGCCGGTATTAAACAAGTACGTTTAAACTTTCAAACCAGCTAGGGCCCTGGAAGAGCATAATAGCCCTCGCTGTGTTCAGGCCCCTACCAAGTTTGAAACATACCTGTTTAGACCAGTCAAGTACATATCTATTCCCTAAGTAAAATAAATGTAAAGCTCAATTTGTACCTGCAAATCACACTCTCCACCCTGATCACAGATGGGACAATCCAGTGGATGGTTCATCAGCAGAAATTCCATGACTCCCTCCCTGGATAGGATTTAGAATTTAGCTCTTGCTGTTAACACGTACATATGTGTTCACAACAAAATGACAATAATGATAAAAAGCAACGGAGTTTCATCTTGCATATTTTATCTTGTGTGCAAGTCTGCACTCTCCACTTGACAGTCTGTGATTGATCAGACAGCAGGAGGATTAATAACAACTACAATAAGATCATATTATGAAACTACTAATAGAAAGGTTAAACAAATACCTTGCTTTTCTGGTCATTTCTGAGTTTGTTTTGATTCTCCATCCCTTCATGACTGGCATGGCGCAAGCGGCGACCGGCTACAATTTCAAAAGGCATGAAAGAGAAATGAACAAATTGCATCAAAGATTCATAACTGTGTCAATTTGTTTAACCACAGTTAAAAAAAAAATTAAAAATTTAGAAGACATTTAGATAGCTACCTTGAGTGATTTCTCTACTTCCACTAGGCACATGCGGCAATTGCCAGCCACAGACAACCTGTCATGATAGCAGAATCGAGGAATCTCCACGCCTACCATGGCACATGCCTGTCAAGAAAAACAATACGCAAATATTACACTATCGTGTCTGAATGACAACGCATCATATAACAGTTTGGCCATGCCAACAAGTTGACTTCAACATTTCTTTGAGGGCGAAATTAGACTAAATGACAGCTCATACAGGTGCCTAAAAAAAAAAAAAACCTCAAAGGCCCCGCTTTGTCAGAAGCTTAATGAATTGTTAGAGGGGTCCAAAGCTGCGGCTATTGGTAAAAACCTAGCCCGACTGCGTCTGGCCGTACAGTACTATCGCAAGCTCTGTAGTACGGCCAGACGCTGAATGCTTCCAAAAAGATACAAAAATGTTGACTTCTGTGATGTGGTCCATGGCATTTTGCACGTCCGAGGGGTGCAAATGGCACCGATGGTAAAGCTGAGAGTGCCATTTACCCCTGAGGGAGTACAGTACCCGTGGACAGCAAAACAGCCGCATCTATTACCTGTAAGACAGTGGTGCCCGGATCCACCAACACACTCTTGTCATCCACAAACACCTCCACCTTCTCAGGAGCAGCGGAGGAGTTCAGCCGGTTACCGGTCAGGCAGGGCGCCAGCTGCCTGGAGACCAGCAACGCACGCGACAGCGGTGCCCTTAACATGGCGACTACTGAAGACTGTGCAACCCTGTCAGAAAATGATAATTGAACAACTGAGATACTATCAGCCTGTACTTATGAATGATGACCGCAATCGACTGAGGATCCATCAACCCAACCCTAACCTTCCTCGAATGTCTATTTTTCGTGAAATTTCCAAATTCGTTTGCACACGTTTGCGTATCAAAATTTCAACATGAAATGTCACGAAAATTAGACATCTGAAAAAGGCAGCACTTTCTGATTAGCCTATAAAGAGGGAGAGTATGCTTCTAAAGCAAACATAAACTACAAAGTACAATTTTACAAACTAAGCCAAAATGTGAAAATCAAAATTTGACAAAGTTGGTTTCAGCGGTCGAGTTGGTTCAACGGACGAGTGGTTCAACGGTCGAGTTGGTTCAACGGTCGAGTTGACCTGACACCATGTCAGCTGGAGTTACTCAAGCATGGAGCTATAGCTCCATGAGCTAACAAGTAACATGGCTAAGTTTGGTTAGTAAAATTAATAGTAGGAACAGCCACTCGCACTCGCTGTGACTGTGTGACATGGCTAAGCTATTATGATAAGTGGTACTGCTGGAGTTGTGATACTGGCGCTACCAAGCAGGCGGGTTAGCTAGGATTTTGGACTCCTCCAGTTTGAAAGTTACATGAGAACAACCACTTATTCCTGTGTTCTCAAATGCAATACTATTTCATCACTTAAACGTCACAATATATTGACAAAAAGAAGCTAACAGATAAACCAGTGATAAAGATATTAAAAGATGAAAATTACTTGTGTTTTGCTTCGTCCGCTCAGTCACTGCCGACTTTTTTTCGCTGGTACACAAACAAAGTAACACAAACGGATACCAGTCTGTGTTACATCATCGAGTGAGGGCGCTACAACATCTCAACACGTTTTTGATCCTTTTCAATCAAGTCAGCTTTCGCTCGGGAAGGACATAGTGTAACCGGTTGAAATCCTTCAATTTATTGTCAAAATGGGATTCGGGGATTCGAAAACAACAGTCTGTCTGAATGCCCTGAATGAGTACCTTGCCGATCGAAGTTACATCGAAGGGTAATATGAAGCTCAAATGATGTTTCACAGGGTATTTTTAATCGGCATTTATTTTACCCACGTGTCATGGTGTCGTCAGTCGTGTAATTAATACATGATGAGTGTCGCGCATTAATCGGCCGTCCGGCCCCGGCCCGGGGGAGGGGGGGGGGGGGGCTGGTACCATATTTCAATAGGGGGCGCTGTTCAAATTCGACGATTAGTAACACTGGATTACAGAATTGTGTACCGTATTTTGAACAGGTGGACATTATACCAGTATAATTTTGGGGGGGGTGTCACGGCCGGGGGGGGGGGGGGGTTCGACTTATTTTTTAGGAATTTGTATGATAATTTTTTTTTATTTGACAGAGCTGGGGGGGGGGTTGACCCCCAAAACCCCCCCATTTTTTCCCGTAGAGAAGTTTGCAATATTTTAATACCACCCATAAAAAAAAGACAGTTTGAATTACATGTATTGTAGGAAGGAAAGATTCCCATTTCTGGCCATCACTAATTTTCCCTTCACTTCAGTGACCTATCAGCCATCAGAAAGTGATAATATGTCCTAAAAAGTCAAATTGAGCGTGGAAACTATTGAAGTATTTATATAGTATTTACTGAGAAAACACTTGGACATTTTTTGCGTTAAAAAACTCTTTTTTTGGACAGTTGCCGTAAGGAGCCAGTGTTTTGTTTCTTTTCTTGGTCAACACAGGTACACCGTGTCACAGGCAGATGTAGTAGTCTTCGAGGCGCTCTCTGGCGCCCCACCGGCTGAACTCTACAACGCATTGCGCTGGTATAACCAAGTCAACTCCTACAAAAGCCAGTTCAGTAGGTGAGTATAGTCACTATGCAATTTGCACGTTGAATTGATCAGTCGTGGAAAAATCAGTGGAATATTGTTATTTTACAAGGAATCATGGAAAGTCAATATTCCCAGGGAAAAGATCACGGAAAAGCCTAGCCCGACTGCGTCTGGCCGTACAGTACTATCGCAAGCTCTGTAGTACGGCCAGACGCTGAATGCTTCCAAAAAGACTGAATTTTTTTGGCCGCCGATGTAGCGATTTTGCTACATCTTTCGATCGCAATTATCTTTTCATCCAGGACACAAATTTCCAAAGTTAAGGTTTGTAGTCGTAGAACAACTCATACCTTTTCGAAAAAACGTTGTTTGGTCTCAATATTTTCATCCATCTGGCCACAAGACGAATTTCAGTCATCAGATTCCACAAATATCGTCCCCCATGCGATCCCCCGTGCGATTTCAAAATGGCGGCCGCGCTGTAATGTATGCAATATGCAGGCGCGCCCGCACAATCTCATGAATATGCATAAACAGTCTGTGACGTATGACCTCGTGTTTTTGGACGTACGGCCCTGCCGCACGCACGTCCAAAAACACAAGGTCGTACGTCACAGACTGTTATGCATATTCATGATTTGCGCGGGCGCGCCTGCATATTGCATACGTTACAGCGCGGCCGCCATTTTGAAATCGCATGGGGGATCGCATGGGGGACGATATTTGTGGAATCTGATGACTGAAATTCGTCTTGTGGCCAGATGGATGAAAATATTGAGACCAAACAACGTTTTTTCGAAAAGGTATGAGTTGCTCTGCGACTACGAACCTTAACTTTGGAAATTTGTGCCCTGGATGAAAAGATAATTGCGATCGAAAGATGTAGCAAAATCGCTACATCGGCGGCCAAAAAAATTCAGTCTTTTTGGAAGCATTCAGCGTCTGGCCGTACTACAGAGCTTGCGATAGTACTGTACGGCCAGACGCAGTCGGGCTAGGAAAAGCCGTGGAATACTGTGTAAGATCCTCCAACTGCGTCCGTGTACAAATTGCACACAGCCTCAATCCTGCAAAATCGTCTGTTATTTCTTGAATGTGGTCCTTGGAGGGGTGACCACTGCCTCAATCCTGCAAAATCCTCCGGCAATCACTGTCAGTATGTTGAGGCAGAGCCAGTGACATCCTGGAGCAGTACGGAGGATTTCGAGTATAATTTCGAGCATTGTACAAGATCTAGGCCTGAATTTATGCCCGGCTGAGCATGAACAACACAAAGTCCAGGCCAAGACCTTGACACAGTGCATCCTCCAAAATCAGCCACATGTTTTTTGCCATATAGCCTCAATCCTGCAAAATCCTCCATTTCGCAAAGAGGATTTTGGAGGATATACATGTAAATATGTGGCTTTAACCCTCTGCACGTCTCCCAATTGTTATCCAGCTTGCCAGGAGTCAAGAAAGACGTGAGCGAGTACGGTCCGTCCGCCGCGGCCACATCAGCGGCCACACCAGCAGCACAGAATGACGCGGACGATGACGATGATGATGACGACGTGGATCTGTTTGGCTCAGATGACGATGACGATGAAGAAGCCTTGGCCGCCATGCAAGCATCGAGGAAAGCAGCGGAAGACGCCGCTGCAAAGAAGAAGAGTAAGGCCTCTTTGATGTTGTTTATTTATTTGTTTATTTTTATGGATTTTACCCGAAAATGGCTGCCTACCAGCCAAGTTTGCTCCCCAGGGAGTTGAGAAGGTTCCAGGAGTGTTTGCTGGTTGGACACGGGTAATAATAATTGTAAAGCGCTTTGATACCCCGTTTAAATTATAAAAGTGTTATATAAATGTCTGGTATCATTAGAGCATCGTTACAGCATAGTGGAGGTCACAGGTTCAAACCCCCCTCCTGTCAATTTCTTTGTTCAACTTTTTCAAACTTGTTTCCTTCGATGACAGAACCTCCACCCATTGCCAAATCCAGCATTGTCCTAGAGGTCAAACCCTGGGACGATGAGACCGACATGAATGAAGTAGAGAAACTGGTGCGTAGTATTGAGATGGACGGCCTACTCTGGGGAGCTTGTAAGTATATTGTTGATGTCCCCTAATGTGGCGTAGCCCCTAACATGGCACACTTTGATTTTTCGCCTCTAGCGCCTTGCCAGAGCAAAGGTTTTATCCGAAATTTCACAGTTGGGTTGTTTGTTTATTTACAGTTTGTTTGTTTGTTTTTTCTTTTATGCACATCTAGAAAATGGAAAATGTCAGAATTGTTGCTCATCATCATTCCCAGGACCCTGTCCCAAGGGGGGGGGGGGGGGGGGGGGGCACAAACAATTTTGCTCTGCCAAAAAGTGGGTCCAAAAAATTTGACGTGGGGTTCGGGGCCTGTTTAAGGGTCCCAAAACTTTTTTGGATTCTAGATACTCTGTGGTGCGATCTGAGGCAATTTCCGACCACTTTGACCAAATTTTTTTTTGTAAGGAAAAGATGGTGGTGCATGCAGTGCCTGCCTTTATTGCGACGTCACTTAAAAAACAAAAATTAGGTTCATTTGGGGGGGGGGGGGAGCATGCCCCCCCCCCCCCCGGATCCGCCCTTCCCCTGTCCCCCTTCCACAGATACGAATTGAAACCTAATTGTTGGCTATACATTGAAGCAACCAATCTTAATCTAACGTCGAATTCTTATGTTTCCCCACACAGCCAAGTTGGTTCCCGTCGGGTACGGCATCAACAAACTGCAAATCAGCTGTGTTGTTGTGGACGACAAGGTAAGATATCCACCTTTGTCATTAGGCCAAAAAAAAAGTCTGCGGTTTCTGGTCAGCGTGCGCATCGCCATAGCCATGTGCGTCAGTAAAAATAAACAGTTGTTTTTACAATGTAAGATTATGTCTCAAAACCACCGAACTCACTGGTTTGACTGGAATCCTGCTGCTGCACAATTTAACGTGTTTTTCGATGGGTTACGATCGAGTAGAAGATTCATGTGGCCTCTCTGGGCTCCCATATATTCTGCACTATAAGTACTCAATTGTTTCATTTTCGTAAATCTGTTTTGTTCCGATTCCGATAGGTTGGCACGGATGACCTCGAGGAGAAAATCACTGCTTTTGAGGACTTTGTTCAATCCATGGACATTGCAGCTTTCAACAAGATCTAGACAACGAAATTGTGGACTTGGATTGTGATAAAGATGGTTTCGACTGCTGATCTCTAATCAATGAAACTTTCCTCTTGTCTACCCGTGTTGAAAACAACATGGGTACTATTTCAACAGTGCGATAGTCCAAAGGTTCATTAATCCAAAGGTTCGTTAATCCGAAGGTTCGCTAGTCCAAAGTGTTCATTAGTCTGCAAATAGAATGAGGTTAAATTATACGGAGGTTCGATAGTCAGAATGGACAATAATGTTCGATAGTCCAATCGACAATAAGGTTCGACAGTCCGATTTGACAGCATTGAACATTATTGTCAAGTTGGACCATTAAACCTAGTGTGCTTTCAGATTAATGAACATTTAAACTATTGATCCTTGTTTTAATTTCGGACTATTGAACCTTCAGACTAATTAACCTATTCTAAATTCGAACTATCAAACCTTTGGATAAATGAACCTTCAGATTATCGAAGCTTCAGACTATTGCATCAAATGCTCAGATTAACGAACCTTATTTGTTTTTTGGACTAATGAACCCCGGGTATTGGAAATTTGTGTGTTACGACTATCGAGCCTTCGGATCAATAAGCCCTCGGACTATAAGCCTATTGAGCGGACCCCATTTCAACACAGATACTAAGTCCCATCCAACACGGGTGGTTGCACCGTTCAAACTTGCACCAATGTGCACATGGGTCGGCCGTAGATCTTAGAATTTTTACCCTGGTGTCTCGACCATGGTTGGGTTTTACCAATGTAATACTCTACTCTAGCCGTTTCACAGTTCTTATTTGCACCTTAACATCTCAATCCAGTAAAACTGATTTTGACCGCAACATGGCAGTCGTTTCAGAGGTTACAAATTCATTGGTCACCATTTCGAGTTGCATATGTATCATTTATAGTTTGACATAGACATGTTTGAAAAATGGCACATCTTTGGAACATTGACTGTTCATTGTGATTGATTTTGTCCATTAATACCACACTTGAATTTCTTTCAGGGTCCCATTATAATCATGTATCTTGATTATACACTAATAAAGGAGACAAAAATTATGAAGTTGGATTTCAATGTCTCTGTAAACTTATTTCTGTGGTTCCCAGAGGGCTACCTTAGTGTCATCATTTATGGCTGTCCCAAATATACTGAATTTTCCAATATTTGATCAACTGAATCTTCGCTTTTTGCCAGTTCGAATATTCACACGACTCAAAATCTCAAAAAGAACAATGAAGAGTTGTCTTGAAGTTGCATCTTGGTCAATACTACACTTTTTAGGTGGAGGGGATAACAAACGTCCCTTTGTAAAACATCCATAAAACTTGCATTGATGGCAAAGGCAGACCCTGTATTTAGCAGCCAATTGAAAATGTACGCCCAAGTTCAGATTCACATTTGCACATGGGACCTTAAGTCTTAATTGGGCACTCAAGTGCGAGGATAGCTTCAGTGTGTTTTTAAGTGTGATATACTCAACACAACTTTAAATAAGCACATTGTAGTAACGTGTCGGACTGAATAACCCCATAGTTGTTTTGTAAAAGTGAAAAGAAAATATGTTTCTCAAAATAAAGGGGGGAAGGACAATCACAGGAATGTAGACCAACAAGAAGTGAATATATTTTATAACATGGTGTTATGACGACACACAACATGCAAGAATTTAATGCAAGGCCAAAAAAAATAATAAGTCGGTCTCTGGTCAGCGCGCGCGTTGATTTTAATCATGCACGTCAATCTTTTTTTTTTCTCAAATTGTTCCGCGGTAGCTCCAACAGCCCCCTCTATTTCCACACCTCAATTTTTTTACCAAAGAGCACCAAGGAATGGGAAATTGCACCAAGGCAAATGATCGAAAGCACCAAGGCAAATTATGGAGGGCACCAATGTACATGAGGACATTAAAAAAGCAAAATAGTACCCACCTTGTCTGTACAATCCAAGCTTGAAGAAAAAAAAAAAAAAAAAAAAAGCCGCGTGGCCGCGTCAATTCCGGAACTTTGGTCTGACCAGAGACCGAATATTTTTTTTTTTAGCCTAACTAAGTACAAATGTAAAAACATCAACATGATCTCACATTTTAAATGTGGACAAATTATTTTTATATAGGCCTACTTGTATAATTTTCTGGTGAAATAAAACAATTGGGAAAACATTCCTTTCTCTCATATCCTTCCACAAAAACCGTTCCATTCCTTGAGCCCTGCACTACAAGCATATGGATTTCTCGTTGGCAAGCAAGTTTATATGTAGCGCAGCTTCTCAGAAATAGTTGGGCCAGCTACATGTCGTGGCAAGATCGACCTGAGGGCAGCTTTAGGCACTGCCTGGAAACGTCTCTCTTGAAAATACAATGAGCTACTATTTAGAATCAAGGTGAGGTCATGATTTTCATGCCAAGTTTGGAAATAGATTCTACTCCATTCTGGTGCAGAGTTACCCAAGCCCACATAATGCCTACATGTAGCAGCAAAAAGGCTTTATCAAATATTTCAGCTAATGTTTTTTAGTATCTTGCAGCTCTTTTCTCAGGCTCCCATTAGTAGCAGTTAATTGCCTTCGACGTTCTGGAGTATGAGATCCATGTAGGCGCAGGATATCAGGTCACTTGGCTGGATGCCAAGTTCCTCCATGAGATCATCGGCTATTTTGGTCCCGTCGGCCGTGGTCTGGTCCGGTTGCATCATCACCTGAAAAAATAAACAACAGTTTAAAAAAACTGTAAACTACTATATGAGTGGTGTGTTCTTGGATGAAAATGGTGAATATCTTGCCTAAATTCAAAGGCCCGAACATCAATGCAAATTTGTGACATCACGGCAATTTTTCACACTGTGATTTTGCAAAAGTTAAATGCATTTCAACTGGGGGGCAATTCCGTAAATTCGGACGTACATGTCAGACACTTTTAATGAGCTGCTGTTGGAAAAATGCACCCAACAGCTCGATTTTTGAGAGTCAAAATTTTGACCCACGAAATTTGATCTCGCAAAATAACACAAAAAACGGCATATTTTCAAAGGATGCCTGTGTTGACGTTTATATTTTAAACACCCTTTCCAATTAATACCATTTAAACTCGTTTGGTAGCCCAATTGGGCGCTTTCCAGTATGTAGTCTCCCTTTAGGATTTTGAACAATTTTGCTGCTTCAAACGAAAATGAGCAAAAAGCAAATGATCCTGAGCAACAAATTTTGGTCCAGACCTCCAGTTCCATGAAGCTTCCCAGTCTGTCCACCTCATCAATATGCACTCTGGTCTGTCCAACCATGATCAATGTTCTCGTCTTTTTGACGATGCCTTTCACGCCCAGGGCTAGGCTCAGCGTCGACTGCAAAGAAAGAAAGGGAAAAATTTGACTTTGAAATGGAAAAAAAAACGCATTCTGGTTATCTTCTGATACTGTTGCAAGCAACACAGCAATGCAAGCTAAAATCCAAACTTGGGTTGGGGATGGGAGGTGGTTAATCTGGGTATCACCCGTTATCCACGAAGCCAAATCTCTTGTATATAACGTCTGATATGTCTAGACATGCAGATAAATGCAAGCCGCACGCCAGCCAATCGGAGACAACTTTACTAAATCGTGACTTCATTTCACTCCCAAATCAGGACTAAATGGTTTGATTGGTCAACTCGAATGCAGTGTTTTGTAATACAACAACAACCGGGTGCATTATCGCGTAACATGATACAGAGCACGTGACACAGTTTTTTTTATTCATTGTCTATGACGCGCATTCGCCGTGGTCTATTACATGGACTAGGAGGTGGTGTGGGGTGCAAGTATTATTAGAAGGGGGTTGATACCAGCCGTTTCAAATTTGAAAAACCAGGAGGGGGGAGACCAGACCACACCTGGGCAGTCAGGTTGGCTGATTCCGTGGGTTTTCCCCAGAATATTCTGCTGGGGTTTTCGTCCCAAACCTAGAGCTGTAATTTCTTTTCACTGTCTCCTCTCTACAAGCGTAGGACGCTTTGGAGGAATCCCTTCAATAAACTGCAAAGCTAGTTTGCAAGGATTTGTGACTTTTTCACCTTCAGTTGATCCGGATGATGAGATTCAGTGACTGAGAACTTAGAAAGCTTGGGCCCGGTGGTGTCAGGTCTGTCATAGAAGACCAATTGTGAGAGTTTCGTTGGGTCCTCCTGTTAGACATAGAACAAAAAAGAATAAAAAAAATAAAAATAAGACACTGTATAACAAGGACTAGGGGGTGGTACCCAAACGTAAATAACTCATAAAAAATACTTCAAATCAAAGTCGTCTCTGTTGGGATGTTTTTGAGAACGGCTATTGGGACACTTGTCTGAACAATGCAGCCAGCATGACACAACAGCTACTCACGATAATAACAAAGTTACAACTGTCTTAATTGTGAAACCTGAGCATGCCAAAACCTGACACTGGTGCAAGTGGGGCACAAAGATTTGGTTCACAAACAAAAGTACAATGACCTTAAATTCTCGGAGTTTGAGCCTGCCATTGGGGCAATGAAAGAACGTGTCCTCCTGGTGTAGTACTTCTGATGTGTTGTTGCCGCTCAGCTCTTGAGCTTTCTTCCTGACAAAGTCCGGCTCTCTGAGGTGGGCTTTGATCTCAACATTGGACGGCATTGTAGCGGGAAAAACAGTGCAATGTACAAAGTGTGGAAGCTGCAAAGTTGACAATAATAAACAAAATTTGAGCAACAGATGTGTTGACAATGCCACGTCTCGCTTTGCTACCAAAGTTCAAAACCCCTCATCACAAGCTGGGGAAACCATAACGAAAAAATAGAAAAACCAAGACTACAAAGTAAATTTGACTTCATATTTCTTAACTAAGTGTCTAAGATGACATTTCAATAAGCTTTTACTCTGACAAGAGCAAGGCATCCATTATAGGTTTTTATTGGCAGTGCACAGCAAGATAGTACGCTCTTACTACTCCTAGAACTATGACTTATGAGGCTCCACGCTCCACAACGTGGAGCCTCAAAGTTCTAGGAGTACGCTCTTACTAGTTGCGATCTCAGCCAATCAAGCGACAGAATCTGCAGGTGAGATGTTATTTATAAAGGTCAATTTATTCTAATTACAAAGAAATGGAACAATTACTCACTCCCGGATGTGCGTTTCCCGTGCTGACTTTTGGTAGGCAGTAATTTTTAGAAGTACACAAAATTCCTTGCTTGTTTGGTTTCCTGACTGTCGGCCTTGCTGATGCTGCCGTCAAGTAATCAGTGACCAGACTTCTCACTCCAGCCTGTTGAAATTTTGATACAGAAAATTTGTGCAAATGATTGAATCTGGAAATTTCACGAAAAATAGACATCTGAAAAAGGCAGCACTTTCGCCAGACCATGTCCAAATGTTAAAAAAAGGCGATAAGTTGGGTCCAAGTTACTCGGACTAATAATTTAGAGGGTGAATATGCTTCTCAAGTAAAAAATAAACTATAAACTCAGCCTAGGCTAAATGTAACAACGAGTTGACCCATAGCCTAGGCCCTATATATCATGATCCGTGGCGTAACGCTGTCACTGTCATTGACTGTGAGTATAGTGCTGTCACGCCCCAACTATCGCATCGGTCCCAACTATAGTTGGGACTGTCCCAACTATAGTGCGGCAGTTGGGTCGGCCCAACTATAGTTAGGACTGGAGTTGCGCCGGATGCTTCATGCTTGATAGATCTTGTTGGATTAAATGTTCCGCGGCGCTGGCACCGTGTATTCGTCGTGCATGCATGCCGCAAGGCTGGCCGGTCACGTGGTACTGCCTAGTTGGACGAGTTGTCCAGCTGCTGGGTTTTATTATCCAGCAACATTTTGCAAAATTCAAAGATTGCCATGGCCGGCCAACTATAGATGGGCCCCACCCATAGCTAATGTCAAAGGTCCCAAGTCGGACATGTAAGCCAATGTAAGCAGAGCTGTAGAGAATGTTTTATAGTCGTACATCAATTGTAAACTATAGTTGGGACTGCCAAATAAAAATATTGCGGTGGTCCAACTACAGATGGTCCCCACCCATAGATCATTTCATTGGTCCCCAGTAAAGTCAGATGTGTATTAGAGTTGTAGGGAATGTTTTATAATCGTACAACAATGTACACTATAGTTGGGACCGCAAAATAAAAAGATTGGGATGGCCCAACTATAGATTCGCCCCATCAATAGCTAATTTCAGTGGTCCCCAGTTAAGTCAGACGTGTATCAGAGCTGTAGGGAACGTTTTATGGTTGTACATCAATGTAAACTATAGTTGGGACACCGCAAAATAAAATGATCGGAGTGGCCCAACTATAGATGGGCCAGCCCAACAATGGAACTTACAGTTGGGACCGTCCCAACTATAGTTGGGACAGGCCCGACTATAGTTGGGCCAGCCCAACTGTGGTACTACAGTTGGGCCTGTCCCAACTATAGTTGGGACAGGCCCAACTATAGTTGGGACCGATGCGATAGTTGGGGCGTGACAGCGACAGTAATATAGTGTGACTGTGCATGGAGGTAGAATTGTAATTCGTCACTGCGTACACGGCGTGTCTAGCTGGAGTTAGCCCCATAAATGTGGCCTATTTACTGGACTGCCTCCGTAAACATAGGCCACACATCCACATGTACAAAAATCGTGTCGACGGAGCCAAATTTTGATTTTCACATTTAGGCTTAGTTTGTAGGGTTTTTTTGCTTTAGAAGCATACTCACCCTCTTTACAGGCTAATCAGAAAGTGCTGCCTTTTTCAGATGAATATTTTTCGTGAAATTTCCAGATTCATTTTTACACGTTTGCGTATCAAAATTTCAACATGAAATTTCACAAAAATTAGACATCTGAAAAAGGCAGCACTTTCTGATTAGCCTGTAAAGAGGGTGAGTATGCTTCTAAAGCAAAAAAAACCTTCAAACTAAGCCTAAATGTGAAAATCAAAATTTGGCTCCGTCGACACGATTTTTGTACATGTGGATGTGTGGCCTATGTTTACGGAGGCAGTCCAGTAAATAGGCCACATTTATGGGGCTAAGCTGGAGTCAGCCCTTTCCCATCCCTCGCCCTAATCCTCTTGAAAAATCCCCAAAATATAAGTGGCTATGGTTTTACCCGTATATCACACCTGCAAAATGCACCAAGTTTAATCATCGATTACAACAATAGAGCAAGGAACTATGCAATGTGCCACAAAATGCAATGAATTTGTAGCGCCAAAATATCTAGGGATCTTCGGGTACCGATTTTCCACCATATGCATATCGAGGGTGAGAAGTCAGGAAATCAGACAACATAAACTTGTTTCAGTCGCTTAAAGGTAGCTGTGGATTCAGATGCACTTCACCAAAGTTCAAGTTGCGGCGAAAGGCGATCTATTTTCCAGAAAGTTAACTTCATTAATTTATTCAACGAATTTTTTTTATAAAAAACGACATGCGACAAATAACAATATTTGTTTTTCTTTCAATAACAATATTTTGTTTATCTTTCGTTTGTTTTTTCCTCCTTAATCTGGGGAGGCGAGTATTTTCTTTTCTCCTTTTATGGCTGACCTATATTTTCAAAGCCGCGGGCGCGCCCCCTCCTGCCGCGGACTGTATATAACATGACAACCGAGAACGTGTTTATCACGCTGCTTCACGCACGAACGCAAACCGAAGCTTTCGCCCGACTTCTCCGTCCTCGGCCTTTTTGATGTAGTGCAAGGCAGGTACTTCGAATGTGCCGGTGAATTAAAAAAAAGTCGCTTTGTGAGAGCTGGAGCTGTAGCTATATTTATGTGACGAAACAAAAACACATCGGTTCGAAACAATCTTCCGCCTTTTGTTTACGCACGTCTTGGCGGCAGTGCCCAATATTGAAAGTCTATTCTTATTATTCCTCCCCCCGTTTCTTAAATTGACTCCTTGAAGATGCGTGTCCCGTGCTCTTAGAAAATAGGTTATTTTTTTCTGGCAGCCACTAATTCGAATTTTGGAGAGACAATTTTTTTTTTAAATGTCGGTGGATTTTTTTCGGTTATTCAATGTCTCATTTAGGAAGTGAATAATTTGTCGGCCTATAGGCCTACTGCTAGGAAAGTAGCAATTGAAAAAAAAAATCTAACTTTTTTCGGATGAGTGAACTCGAAAGAGCACGGGAAATGCGGGAAATGTGTCTTTAAAGTTTTAAATTTAGTGTTGATATTGTTTTTCTAGCCGTATTGGAAAGGTTCACACAAATCCACATAATGTCTTCATTTACGGAGAAAATGTTGAAAACCCCAATCCACTCAAAGCTGGCGCTTACAACCGTTCGCTCACAAAAGCCATTGAATTTTGAGCAAATTTTGTTAACATCACACTGGCGACACATATCACATTATGTGTGACGTCACTAAACATAAACATTTCTAAGATTATGTGAACGTCCATACTCTTTCTTTTGAATGATCTGTTCAACTAATGTCAGTTCGTATAGTAACTGCACTTTGAGCGCAAATGGGCGCATTCCCTCAAATCAATGTGCTCCTTAATTAATAGAGTTTCGGCCTCGGCCTATATAGGCCCACGGTTTGGTCATGCGCAATCTGATGACGTGACGGGCGTGCAATCTCGTGGTTTAATAAAATGCAGCGAGTAACGCATCGATGGGTTGGTTATCAAGAAACAGTTATCAGGCTGGGTTTTCCGAGCGTTCACGTGAACGTGCCTCGAGGGAAGATTCATGTTTACAAAGTAGCTGCCACAAGCTTGCAGTTACTGTTCCGATTTCTATTCTCGTATATAAAGTAAAAAGTTTTGTTTTGAAGTCTAAACCTACAGTACAGGCACTGCTATCGGATGACACCAACATTATTTTGACGGCAGGCTTTATTGAGAAACTACATGTAGTCTCTTGTAACCACATTTACGAGGTGTCGTATTTAAACAGGAGGCTTTGGGTGTTCTCACGCACTCGTGGACAGTCACAAGAATAATACTTCGGACATTCGGACGTATAATATGCTTTGTGATTTTAGCAGCGGCAAGATGATTTTTCGCTGGCTAGTACTATTTCTGGTGGTTCCGAGGCCGGCGATTACCGGCATCATCCCGAGTGCAGCACACGCCAGCATGACCAGGCCCGGGCATGTTATCTTGGGGGCAAGCTTACCGATTCACGGCTGGTCCTCCGGGCCTCCGTGCAGTGGCAAACTGTCCGACTGGGGGATCGAACTGTCTGTGATTCTGCTGTTCGCCATCGAGGAGATCAACAATCGCACCGATATCTTGCCGAATATCACCATCGGCTACGACATTCGCGACAACTGCTACTCGGAGACCCTGTCAATGTGGACTGCGCTCAGCCTGGCAAGCACATCCGAGAGACCCCAGGAGGATGTCCAGTTCCCAAAGATCAACCCAGCAGAGTACGGGAATCTTTTCTGCATCATAGGAACTCAATCGAGTGCCACTACAATTCCGACGGCGCAGGCCGCCAGCCTGTATCGCATCCCTGTCATCTCTCCATTCGCCACAAGCAACGAACTCAGCGACAAGCGCCGGTTCCCCTATTTTCTCCGCACGGTCCCTCCGGACAGTCTACAAGCCGCGGCAATTGCCGATATTCTTCTACGATTTGATTGGAAGTACGTCGGTCTGTATTTCCAGCTGAACACATACGGTATTCACGGCGCCCAAAGCCTGCTCCACCTCGCGGAAAAGCGCGATATATGTATCGCGTTCTCGGTCTCGGTACAGTCTCAAGCAACAGATGCCGAGCTTCGGGACGCTGTGGGCAGACTGTCCAGCTCCCCCAAAGCCAGGGTCGTTATCATGTTCATGGATGTCGTGACAGCGAGTGGCATCTTGACGACAATGAGCGACGTTGGAATTCTACCCCACATCACCTTTGTGGGCAGCGACGGCTGGGCATTCCCCGAATCACTGACAAGGTACAACGTCGAGCTGTCAATGTTACAGGGTAGCCTTTTCGTCCAGATGCAGTACGTGAACATTCCAGGTTTCAACTACAATCGATTTTCGCAGACGACCGAACTCAGCCACCCGTGGTTAGCCCAGTGGAAGGCCGAGCGTAAGTGCTCCGATCTTACGGAATGTCCGGTCCCTATTTTTGCAAATGATCATCACTTGGTGGACGCCGTTTACGCGTTCTCGTACGCTCTTCATGACTTGCTGAACGATCTTTGTGCCAATTACACTGACTGCAATTCGACAGTTCGCACTATCACCGGCCAAGATTTCTTTCCTTACTTGCTAAACACCACATTTCAGAGGTTGGCTGGGGAGTTCAGATTCGACAGCAACGGCGATTCTGGCGGGAATTACAAAATACTGAACTTTCAGATTCACAACGACACTTTTACAGCAACTGAAGTTGGGCGATGGAGCTCATCTGCAGAGAATCCCCTTCAGCTAAACGCAAGTGCTTTGCAGTGGTATCGGGACTCGCCGGATCCACCAGTCTCATTGTGTCGAGAGGTGTGTCCACCTGGTTTCATAGAGGATCCACTGGAAGAGAAATGCTGCTACGGCTGCCGGAGATGCCCTGCTCATGCCATCGTCAGCGGCAACTCGTGCATGCCGTGTCAGAGGGACGAGTGGCCCGACCAGAGCTTTAGACACTGCCAACTCATTGTTCCGACGTCTCCAAGTTGGAGCGAGCCCACAGTTATTGCCATCCTGATCCTTTCAGGCCTCGGACTGGTCCTGTCCCTTCTTTCAGCGCTGGGACTCTTCCACTACCGGTACCACGTGTTGATCAAAGCCGCCAGCCGTGAGCTGAGCAGCATCAACATCTTGGGGCTCACTTTAGCCTTCCTTGCTCCTTTCACGCTCCTAGCTCCGGTAACGACAGTCTCGTGTCGTGCCTCGGAGATCATCGTCGCTTTGTGTTTCACCCTGACGTACGCGCCGACTCTGCTGAAGGTCAACCGGATCTACAGGATCTTCGAAGCCGGGAGGAAATCCAACAAGCGCCCTCGGTTCGCCGGTCCTCGGGCTCAGCTTGCGTTTGCATTTATTGCTACTCTGCTTATGGTGAGCGTGACCTAGGAATTTTGACCACACCTCCGATCCCTGTCCAAAACCTAAATTGAAGACTATGACTAAGGTATTCCCCTTGAATATCGCATCTACGTTGTCTGGTTACCGCACCTTTTCAAAAAATGGCATTGTGACTAGTCGGAAAACAACAAGGCACAAAGCAATGTTTTACATCGGAATATGTAAATCACCCAGATACAATGTGGATGGCTTCTACATAAATATGCATGAAGTTAGGAAAGGGCAAATGAGGTCGCCCTTGTTCAGGCACGGTCCCCTACATGACAGTCCAAGTTAAGCCCCGGGTGAATGAGTGTCCTTTGTAAATTATTGGCAGATCCGGATGGTGTCCTATAACAAATCAATTTGCATGTTTGTTTTTGCACGCCTTCATACATTTTTTAAAAATTGGTTTTAAATGGCGCGCGTTCCAGTTCAGAAATTGCACACACCATGGAGAACGCGTCCCGCTCTTAATTCTAAAAATCTATTTTCAAGGTGCCACACACAAAAAAAGCACGTTTACACCAACTTTAACTTTCCCGATTTTTTCGAAGCAGCTATCAATCGTAGTTAAACAGTGGTGATTGTTTCCTTCATTTAAATTGAGTTCTCCCTTTCTTTCATTTTTACCAGATGTTGATCTGCCTATCTGGAACTCTTATAAGTCCAGCAGTCCCAGCCAAGTTATATTTCAGTCCTCCGACCGGCTACATCGAGGCCTACTGTGCTTTCGGCTACGGCTCAATAGTATCCACTTTTTGCAGCCTGTTGTTAGTCCTAGCCTGCTGCTTCTTCGCCTTCAAGGCCCGCAAGGTACCCAGCAACTACAACGAGTCCAAATTCATCGCCATCAGTGTGTACTCCACGCTGGTCTTCGGCATGGCGGCCGTGCCCGTCTACATGACGGCGGCTACCGTTCAGCAGAAGGTTGCCACGCTGTGCGTGGCCATACTGCTCAACTCCTTCCTGACGCTGTTCTGCGTCTATCTGCCCAAGTTGTACGCCGTTCGCTTCGGGGTGGACGTCCTGGTTTGCGAGTGGAGGAGTAACGGAGTTGTTTCGGCCAACAATGTTTCAGCTGCGTCACCATCACCATGTTGTGCCGATGCACATCAGAGGAATGCCTTACCCATGGCGAACTGAGCCTCAGATCAGGCGAGGCGATTTTTGGTCACAATCTTTACTTTTACTTTTTCTGTCTCTTTTACTACCTTCATCTTAACACAGGAGTTCCTAATACCGGAACCAACGATCACAATTTGATTTTAACGTGCTGAGTAAAACTATTTGTGCGCACAAATGTCTCTGTTATTTTTCTGGACACCAGATAGCGCTGAATGTAATGTCCATTACAACACTCATAATAAATGTACAATTAGGAAGTCTCCTAAGAAAGGAAGGGGGTCAACTTCAGGCCACTGTAAGTGATACTCGTTTTTTGCAACTACAGTAATGTGGGTCTACAAATTAAAAATACCTCAAAAAAGTAGCTTGTTGGAAACTTTTGTGCATAATGCTTGCTGACAGAATACATATACCTCCCATCAACAACAAAATACACATACAACAGAAGTTCTACTTCAGCTACACAAGGAGGAATTGAGCAGTCGGTGATAAACAAGATAAATATTTTTGTGCACCGAAACTCCCCCTGGGACTCAAAAAAGTCTTCAAACAGGCTAATTCTTCTCTCATCTCAGTAGATGATCAGATCAAAAACGCTCACAACAACCTCCTGAAATCGGCTTTGCCCTTTCTCCGACGGTATGATGCTGTGGTGGACCCTGAATGTCCCGACGAGGTCTCCAAAGATATTATAGAACAGTTATCTTCTGGACTTGGATCAGCCAGTCAAAGTTTGGCAGTTGCTCGACAGCATACTTTCGACGAAGTTGTCGACAACAATTTTGATGTACTCAAGAAAACTGACCCATCCATGCGTGAACTGTTTGGGGATTCACTCATAAAAGACATCGAAGACATTGAGAAGGCAACCAAATTGGCAACCAAAATTTCTTGAGAAACGGTTTAATAATTATTACTTGTTGATTTATAAATTTGGTCAGCAGAGGGCGCTCACCTACTCACCGTTAAATTGCCAAGAGCTAACATATTGCTGTGTATGTGCACTAATCCAAAGATCCTGTATAGGGGGAAAATAGGACACTGTGAAGGGACGTAAATCCGGGGGGGGGGGGATGGGTGGGGGTATAAATCGCGTAAAATTTAATCTGAATTCAAGTCACTTTTTAATTGAACATGAATAAAGCACTCTTTGTGGAGATGATAACTCAAGAAAAACACATTGCACTGAATTGAAATTTCGTCCAATAATTGTTCGAGATATGGGACACAACCAGTTTGAAAATCGATGCGAACACTTGAAGAATAAATTTAATATGATTTAAAGAAATACAGTGTACAAATCACGAAAAATTCAATCTGAATTCTAGTCACTTTTTAATTGAACATGAATAAAGCACTCTTTGTGGAGACGATGAATCAAAAAACCAAATTGCATTGAATTCAAATTGCGTCCTCTAATTGATCGTGATGTACGACACAATAGTATTAAAAATCAACAAAAACCGTTGAAGAAAAAAATGAACACAACAAAAACAAAAAGTACAGTGCGTAAGGGCACTCCCGTGCATTTTACCAACATCATATTTCTTCCAATAGAGGGCGCGCTACACAAATAGTGGTCACCACCGTAAAGCAACGCGGATCACGATCTGCCCAAACGAAGTCGGCATTAAGTGAACAAAAATAACACACAGTTTGTGGAGATGATAACTCAAGAAAAACACAATGCACAAACTGTGTGTTATTTTCGTTCACTTAATGCCGACTTCGTTTGGGCAGATCGTGATCCGCGTTGCTTTACGCGGTGGTGACCACTATTTGTGTAGCGCGCCCTCTATCGGAAGAAATATGATGTTGGTAAAATCATTGAGGTAGAATGCACCGGAGTGCCTTACGCACTGTAGTTTTTGTGTTTATTGTGTTCATTTTTTTTCTTCAACGGTTTTCGTTGATTTTTAAAACTATTGTGTCGTACTGTCCACTCCAACTCCAGGGTTGGGGTTCGAACCCACTGGGCCAACTCGACACTCACCTGTTATTTATTTTATAAGTAATATCTTCTGTATTCTGTTTTCCCCTTCTTCCTTTATTAAATCCTAGTGTATTTTCCTTTTTCAGCTTTTTTTTTTTTTTTTTTTTACAAAAATCACCTCCTAAAATAGTCATGAAGCCCATCGCCATTTTGGCGTAAAAGGCCGCTGGTAAAAAAAATGCACTTAAAAAATAAGGCGGGGCACTCTTCAAAAATATTCCGGGGATTGTTTTTTTGAAAAAAAGGCACTTTAAATGGAAAATGGCAGTCTGTACAAAGAATTTGGGGGGGGGGGGGAATACCCCCCCCCCCCCCCCCCCCCCCCCCCCCGGCTACACTTCTGACCCAAGCCCGGTGCATGCAGCTTGTACTTTTTCTGACTACATTAAGGCTAAGTTGATCGAAAAACGTGTCCCCGTTGGTGGTGCGCGGTGCATGATTACCACCAAACCAAAAAAATTACCAGAAAGTGAAAGGTGGATAAAAAACTTATTTTTTGGTGTGGGTCATGTATCTTCCCTGATTTTTAGAACGGGTGTTTTTACTTCATTGTGTCTTGGGCAAGTTTATTTACTGATTTTCACTAAACACAGGCGAAGAAAAAAAGTATATTTATCATTTTCTATTTATTATCGCAGTTATATGATCGACTTGGTCGTTCCCAGTTCGGACTCGAACTCCATCCACCACCACGTGCGTTATCCACAGCGCCCTCTTGAGATAACATCTGCTCATAAACAATGTAATTTGTAAACAGGACGTGGTGTTTGCGTTTTCTTTTCGCTTTCTGCCCACATAAAGTGGTATGGTTAACCAGACTTCTGATTTATGCATCTCTAAGGTGACTTAGAGTGAATCGATTTGGAGGTAAAACATTGGCCTTATTTTCTGTGACTGGAAATACCTGTCAATCGAAAGTAGTATTACTCTGCGCGGCTCACACACGCACTCGCACGTCCGGCCCTATGCTACTTCATGTACATGTACATGTATATCATATGGCCATAGCATAGGATAGGGCCAGCTCACTGGTTATAAAAACATGTTGCAAAATGGGGGGGGGTGGGGGGGGGGGGGGGGGGGGGGGTGGGAGTAGGGAAGCTCTGGCATGGAAGTTTTGTATTGGCTGTGAAATGCAGATTTGTCTAGGGGGGGGGGGGCACACCTTGAGGTTACTAACACAGGAATATTAGTTGGGCATTCCTGGATTTCTTGTTTCCATTTGATTTCTGAGAAACATTTGAATATTTTTGGTCTTCACATTTCATCTGGCAGTTACACGGAAACTAAACATCTGTTAATTCCGAACTTAATTTAGAAGTTAGAAGTTTAAGGTTGGGCTTAATCCCAGTTTGTTTCTTTATTGTAACACTAACAGGAAAGGGACCCAGGATTGTAAGAGAAGCAGTCATTGGCTGAAGCCCAGCGAGGGTGAACACTCCGTAGTTTTCGTTTTGCATGGGCTGTTGTCCCTCACGGATCTGCCGTCCTAAGACCAAGATGTCTACAACAGTCAGTCAGTTTGCCAAGGAAGTATTGCACTTTAGTTCCCAGTATGGAACGGACGGCAACGTGTCCTACGTGGTGCCCAATCTGGCTGGGCCGTCGACAATCTACCCCAGTTACGGGGACATGACAGCAGCATGTGTGTTTGTGAGTGCACAATATCTGTTACTTGTTTGCTTTTCTGAAACATGGTGGACACAATAGTAGACTGCTGTTTTGGTTTTGGTAAATTTGGGTTGAATAACAAAGAGTTTACCCAAACCAAACAGCGATTTACTGTGTGTCCACCATATCGCTATTTTGAAAGGCATGTAATCAGAAGCAAAAGTGATTTTTTTTCTTCACCTTAATTTCTTAATTTGAAACTTGCTTGTAAACATAATTCATACTTGCTAGATCAGGAAGTTTTAACACGGGTTTTGAAATGTTGATTTGTTTTAAAGTTAAAAGTTTTGATATTTCTTTCTTTAATTACAAAACAATCACAAGATCTCTAAATTTTAAGGAAAAATCTTCTATAAAGACTCCCATGATTTGCTCTAAAATGCACCAGAGAGCCTCTAAAGTTCAAAATTTTTGCTTCGCAGGTTGGTGAAAAAATCCTGGGGAGAACCCTGCATCCTCCTAAATCAGCTATTTTTACCATATAACCTCAATCCTGCAAAATCCTCCATTTTGCAAAGAGGATTTGGGAGGGTTAGGGTTAAATAATGTGCCGCTTGTTACTATATAAAATACTGTATAAATTTGTTGATTGTCATTCTATTGTTTGTGACAGCGGACGTACGGACCTTGGTGGGAGTTGGCCCCATCCAGCCAGCCTGAGATTGGCCGCAATGCCAAAAAACCCTACCTCGGCCAAGACTTTGTTGGTAAGACCCTTAGTCATGCCTCAGGCGTGCATTAGCTTGAGTACAGCGCCCCTTAGGTATGTCTGGAATTGCTCTGATCGAATGCCAACGTTCCCTAGAGAGAAGATTTGATTCATCATGTTTAAGATGCTTCAAGGGGAAAAACCTTAATCCAGTCTTGATCAAAGACTATGAGTAGGCTGGACAGCGCCCTCTATAGTTCTTGCACATAGTCCATTACAGCCTGTGTGTCTTCTCTTTGCCCTCTCTACAGACCTGTGGTATGCCGAGAAGGTCTACCCGACTGAAGTCCGCATCTATGAGACGTATCACCCAGGCGCTGTGGTGCAGATATTTGCGTGTGAGATACACAGGGACCAGGCTGGTCAGATAGTCAACAACAATGTCAGGTCAGTACTAGCTCTGCACTAGTGTTGCGCAAACCCGACCCAAAACCGAATGTGACCCAACCCGAAACCGTCAGGTCAGTTTATCCATCATTTCAGTTGGGTCGGGTCGGTTTGTCCATCATTTCAGTTGGGTCGGGTCGGTTTGTCCATCATTTCAGTTGGTTCGGTTTCGGTTCTGCGTTTGCGATTTTCAGCTTGCATCGGGTCGGTTAAGCCATTTTTGAAAACCTGAAATAAACCAAAATAAACTGAAACAGTTTGGAAATTCCCACGGTGCAATATTTCTTGCATAGTGACTGTGCCCAGTACCAAAATGGTTTGCGGTCTATCAAGCATGGTCTATAACATGTTGGCCCACCAGTAGGTTACTTTGTGAGTGCTGTACGGTGTGATTCAGTTACTGAGAGGCGATGATTTTTTACGTGCTGTGGTTAAGTTCAGGCACAAAAAGCAGACACAGTTGCCCAAGCCAAACATTCAGGGGTTTTTCTGGTTGGCTCGGTTTTGGGTCGGTTTGGGTCCATTTTCCTTGAATTTTTGTTGGGTCGGTTTTAGACAGTTCAAAAGCGTTTTTGAGTCGAAACATAAGTGTGGTTGTTTTGTTTCGTGCTCAGGTGGCAGTTGTTATGGTCAGGCAGGCCCCAGGTATCGCTGTCCGATCCAAGAATCTTCTCTCCACCTCTCAGGAAAGTCCGCTTTGCATCCAAGTAAGTTAACCTAATCAGTTTCCTCTTTGTGATTTAGTAGATTGCTGTCTGTTGTCTTTTGTGTTCGTGTTCTACATAACCCCCGAGGACAGACACACAAAGGGAGAACAACAGATCCATTCAGTCCTCAGGCGTTGGGTCTTTTGTTCAAAATGGTCCTCTTTAGTAGGTTCGTGTGCTTAGTCTGTGGGAGAGTGTTATATTACAAGGACAAAGGGACACACAAAGCATTGTCCTCGGCAGTATAGTAAAACGAGAGTGCGTGCCTGTGTCTGTTTTTTTTTTTTTTAAGTAAGACTGAAGAGTACTTACATTTACAAATTTGTGTCATGTCGAAATCAAACTTATTGCTAGTTTGGAATATCATGAACAAGATCAACAAGTGTGTTTTCTTTTATCCCCAAACCAGTTTGATTCGTTTGGTTGTCCACCATCAGCATTTACGGTACTACACGGAGTTGGATGCGGTGGAGTTAGTTGGCACACTACAGGATGACGGCACAGGTAAAGCATAGTCATTGCATGGGACATCAAATATTTGTTTTTAAAATGGTAATCTTTGTTAAAGGTGCTATACAAAATTTTGCTTTTTTTATAATTTTCAGGAATGGATTGATTTGTTAATAAAGTTTTGTGTTCATAGATGCTGGAAAAACCATTAACAAAATGCTGTTTTCCTAGTCTGGTTCCCTGACCGTACTTCAAACAAAACAGAGCAATTGATAGACGTCTGGGAATCGTCAGGTCGGGGAACCAGACTAGCTGCCTAGCTGGCTTCCACCTGTCACAGATGTGTAACCGATTGTAAACAAAATATGCATTAAATAAATTTTGTACATTTGGGGCAGTATTTGAAGAAAAAAAAGTCAGTTTTTTCCCAACGATGGCCGCCTGACCATCATTGGAAATTGATCCAAAAATGCCACTTTCCTTGAAAATGACAGCACACCAGGTGCCATGATTTCACAGGATGCTTGAGACTATTACTCACTTACAGTCAAGTAAGGTATTTCTTTATAATCTGTGTAGTTTTGATTTTTGATGTTTAAATATTCCTCACTACCTTTAAATGCTGTGTATAATAAATAAGATGTCAATGATTGAAACCATTTTTGTCTGTCCTCCAGATCTTGATGCAGTCTACGCCTTGCGCATGCAGACACTATCCATCAGGTCTCAAGATGATCTCAATGTGTCTCCCAGTATGGCTATCGATAATGGCTGCTTTGATATGCTACCGGTATGCAAGGCTGGTTACTTGAATCTCGTAAACTGAAAGTCTGTTGTTACTTTTCTGAAACCATGTTTGCATTCGACAAATTTGTTGAAAGATTTTATAATAATCGAGATGATGGTAAAAACCGAATGGGTAAAATCTCACCCGTGTCCACACTTAGACTTTTGGCTCAGGAAAATTTTAAGACTGTCACTATTAAAGAGAAACCTATCTGGGGCTTACATATGTGTCTGACTAATGTCCGAGTCTGAGTCTCATAGCTGAGCTTTGCATTCTTTTTTTTTTAACAAGTTGATCGTCGTTATTGTCATCGTTTCAGGGTGAATTAATCCAGCTTATCTTCTCGGATCTGGAGTTGCTGGATCTCTGCCGTGCTGCACCCACCTGTAAGCTATTTAAGAAGCACTGCTATGACAAACTTCAGTTCGTGGAGTTGGATCTACAGCCCTACTGGCACAAAGTAAGTTTTAGGAACACATTAATTAGCTGGAACATCCATTTCCCTCGACTATGCCTCAGGAAAACATAACACTCCCCGGATCACCTCTGGCGGCTAGTTGTATTAAATACACCACTCGAAGCAGTCAATATTTGTATTTAATTAATATAGCTGTCTTTTGCCACAGGTCAATGAGAATACATTGGATGGTCTAGCAGAGCGATGTCAACATCTACAGAAGCTAAGCCTGGCCTGGTGTGGGGACTGGGGCAGCCTCTCTACAGAATCCTTCTCCAGGTAAGCAACTTTCATGGTGATTCTGAGAACAGACATTTTCCAAGCACGGAAAACAGTTGCTTAGCAAAAAACAAAATTTTCATGGGATTGTTGAACTGAACCAGTGTTTTTCATTGACCTGTCGCCAATGTAGTACAGCAGTACTTTGGGAGTCTTGAGATATAGCAGCGCGGAGTCGTGAGGCAGCGCAGAGTCAGCCACACATCAGAGAGGGACACGACTTCACGGAATCACACTGCATACATTGTGTGGGGGGGGGGGGGGCTGCGGTCTAATGGTTACGGTGTTTGACTCGTGTGCCGTGGTACCCGGGTTCGAATCCTGACAGGGAACATGGTGCTTGTGCTCTTAATTGAGCAAGGCACTTTACCATTATTGCTTCCTCCTTCGGATGGGACGTAAAGCCGCAGGTCCCGTGTGTTGTGTAATGCACGTTAAAGAACCCAGTAGCACTGTCTTTAAAAAATCGCTGTAGCAAACAACCGCTATTACAAACAATCTTTGATCGTGTTCGTTGTAGTCAACAGTCAACTGTATTAGCATATTGATAAATGCAATGTTTGTGTGTTATTTTACCTAGCTTCATTTTAGAATGTGGTGCTGAATTGAGATGTTTGCGACTGTCAGCCTGTGCCTTCCTGACACCCAATAACATCAGTGTTATAGCCTCAAAGTGTCCCAAGTTGGAAGGTAGGTTGAAATTAGAATTTTCTGGTTTCCTTCTTAAAATGTAACGCTCAGATTTTAAACAGCATGTCTTTTGTGTTTGAACTAGGGATTCACATTTGTTGACTGAGTTGGAGTTACAAACGCAAGGTGATCGGGCAGGCAACTATTGCCGTTTTTTGTACTGGGCATTCCTTACTCAACATTTCCATAATTTGTTTAATTGTGGTAACATGCTTCCCTTTTGAAGTTATCAATTTTTGTCGCACTCTCGGTAACACTGGAGGTAAAAGGTCAAAACGTTTTGTGCCTGGGAATCCTCTATATTGCCCAAGGCAATGTGTACCGGATTTCAAAAAGTGAGAACGATAATATTCCATTCGTTTGAAAAATTATAGTTCAACGTAACTTTTTCAATTTGATTTTGAATCACTTGTAATTTGATACCTGACGACGTCACGATGACATCATGAAATTCTTCACATCTGGGGACTAGGGTTCAAGTTCATACACAGGTTTTATCTTTATTTGTCCCTTGACCCATTGCGAAGAAATGAAATCGGATTTAATTGGAGACTTCGGTGGATTTTCACCTAACTTTGACCAAACTTTGCCCTTCCGGTAGCCCTGGAATTAAAGGTCAAGCCACTTCACCAATACATGTTCATCTACATGAAAAAATAATGGTACATTGGTGAAACAATTAATACGACGAACATTAATATTTACAAATACAAGCGTATCAGAAATCGGTGACATCGTAAGAAGCCAGGGTTTGCTTGTCCATCAAACAGACAAGCATCAAATAAATAGTTGGACCATTTACCCTTATCGTGTGAACACTTTCATTAATCATGCAAACCATGTCCTAAATCTTGCACTTTGAAATGATTAAGGAAATTGTGGTCACAATATCGGAAACATTTCCCCAGATTTTTTTTTTTCTACAAGATAATTTTTTTCTACTAATTTTTTAGCATCTGCGACTTTTTAGATATTGTACAAAAAAGCAGTTGATAATGGATGAAGTACATTGAGAATCATCGTGGTAAATTATTTATTATAATAAATTGTTTATTAAACAAGTATTAATGTTGCCTTTGGCAGAAAATACAGCTTGTTAAATAAAGCTACAATTAAATAGAATGTACATTAAAATCAAAACAAAATTAAATTTAAATAACAATAATAGATTAATTTGATAGAAATAATTTTGTTACTAAAATGCAGCCAAGCAGGATTAGAGGGAAATAGGGGGATATTTAGGAAAGGACAAGGGAGAGAAATTACAGGGTGAGCAAAAAAACCGAAACCCAAATGGCAGGACCAATTTTTGAATGAAGTTTTGCCTGCAGCACTTTCAAAAATCCAGGGTGTGAAAGCCCAATCAACGAGCTTTCTTTGAGTTCAAGAATCATTCAAATCACTTGTGTACTTTTCAAGTTAAGGAATATTAAACGCAAACACCGTTTAAAAGTTCTGTCCACGGATCATAAAAAAAGGATGTATGTGAATTATTTTGCCGAAAGCACACTTACCTTTTTTATGCTCCGTTGACAGAACTTTAAAATTTGTGGTTGTGTTCAAAATTCTGTAACTTTAAAAGTGATTTGAAAATAAAATCTGAAAAAGGCTGGTTTTAGCCTAAGATTGCAGGACTTTAGCGGTACTGATGAGCTACATGCATCATTGGCTCTCTCTGTGGAAACATAACATACGTTTTGCTGGGAACATGAATATCCGTCGAAATAGTGAACATGATACATAACAAACATGATACACAGCACTGGGGCTAGTAGGTAGTGGGGACACTGACAGACAAAACACCATTGTCTAGTGACTTGTCCTCAATTCTATCTACTTTAGAACACCAGGACCCTATCATTCCTGCTGTCGCAGACAAGTATCTGGTTATCTCTGGAAATAGTGACACCCATCGGTGTTTTCAATTGGTCCGACCCCTCCCCTTGCCCACCCAGTATCTTGAATGGTTTTCCTTTCTTATTGAAAAGCTGCACTCTGTTGTTGAGACGCTCCGACACTGCGATGTAACCCTCAGAATCCACAGCAACGCCCGTTGGTCCTTTCAGTTGGCCAATACCACAACCCTCTGTCCCAAATAACCAAAGGAAGTTTCCAGTTTTGCCGTCACACACCTTGAGACAAAAATGACAAGTGATCTGAATAAAGTATAGATTCTAGACATTTTTCCATTGTATTTCTGGAATCAGGACGGACCATTTTGACTGAGATTCCAAAGTTATGTCCGCAAAAAAAAGAAGTACTATTATTCGAGTACTTGGGTGAGCTCCACTTAAATAAATCAAGTGAACAATTTCAATGCTGGCACATTCACTGGGCCTTGCTAAGGAAATCAAACATGTTTGCATTGGGAATGCACCCCTGTTCTACAATGCCACATTGTAGTACAGTGGTCTGCAGGTCGCACAAAAAAAAAAGATGAGGCTAGTATTCTCGCACCTGTATTCTGTGATTATTGAAATCTGCCACAGCCACGTCCCCGTCAGGCATCAGAGCGATGTCACTGGGACGATTGAACTGCCCCGGTTCCTTACCACGTGCACCGAATCGCCTGATCTCAACACTCTGGTCAAAGACGCGGACGGTATGGTTGGCCCAGTCACAGACATACAGCTCCCCACTCGCGGTACAAGCCATACCCCTTGGAGAGAATTCTTCATCCCTGGTAGTGTGTGCCTGTAGTTGGTAATGTGACTTGCCATCCAACGCTAAGACGTGAACTGTATTCATGTCAGGATTACTCACATAGAGTCGGCCCGTTGGGCTCATACACATGCCTAAGAAAAAAACACACAAAAGGAGCAATTATGGTGGTCTGTCAGCACTTTGTTGTTAATAGAAGTAGATGAGGTGATTGTTGACCAACTGAAGTGACAAAATGGAAACATTAAGTGTTCCATATGCAGGATTTTCTTCTATGAGTTGCTATCATTTGCCAGTGCTCACCAAATTCACTGACGAATATCCCAATATTTGATCTTCCAACAAATATCCCAATAACATTTAGTAAATAAAATATTCGAAACGAAATCCATCTCAAGAAGAATGTTCGTGATGTTATTTTAGTCGTATAAGAGGTTTTATCGTTTGTTCAACGCCACAGTTTGTGGACAGCCACTTTACACGCATGATTTGTGAGCTTCTGTGAAGAATACCAGCCCTCATTTGCATCTCATGTATTTAATATACGAGTACCAAATAGTTACAAAAACCTCACCTGTTACTCCATCGTTGAATTTTTCCCCGGGAGGAATACCGAGACTAATAGATCTCTTGTCTTGTGGAGATGAAAAGATGCTGATCGTGTAAGACATTGCAGACCCCACGGCAACATCCCCATTTGGTAGCTCGGTTACACAGCTTGGGGAGTTCAACTGAGTACCGGGCTGATTGCCGTACGTCCTCACTGACTTGTCCTTCATGGCATATTGACTCAGACTCTCTCCAGCCGTGTCGGAGACTGAAGGATTGGATCCTGAAGCTTGGCAAGAGGGATGTGGGACCTTGATGGGGCAGTGCTCCTTCTTCAGGTTACCCCAGGTCTTGATGTTGCTGAGAATATCCCCGCAGTGGTCGTCGCTGAAGACCAACCTGTCAGATGCCACTTCTTTCCCGTGGTGAAAGCTTCTGGCCTTCGCTTGAGCCTCTTGGATGCACATTTCCAACTCTCCAACATGAGCTTCCTCAGCTTTCTCAAAGTCCTTCAGACTCTTCCTCAGCCCTTTGCAGTACTCTTCATGTGATGCCTTCTCTTCTTTGTACTCTTCTTCCTGAGCCGTTAGCAGGGCCTTACATTCCTTGAAAGATTCCTCCAGCTCATTCAAGAGTTCATCCTTTCGATGATTGGCAGCCTTGACGATGTCTCCCAAAACTTTCTTGATGGAGCTCTTCGTCGTCTTGTACGTGTCTGAGAGCACTGCCCGCTCGCTCTGGATTTTATTGATGGTGTCTCCTAACAGTGTACCAGACTGATCAACATCTTTGACGGAAACCCTCAGGGTTGAGAGGAGTTGCTGAGTCTCTTTAGACAAGGACCCTTTGGCTGCTTCCTTCCTCTGATGAGGGCTAGACTCTTGCGATTCCTGAAACAGAAAGATTCTATTAGAGTTGCATCAGTCTGTCACATGATCATACATGATATGGTCACCAATATTGGTGTCCCTAAGTCAAGTGCAATGATGTTTTAGGTTTTCATTGAAATAACAAGCAGTGTTGTAGACTGAGACAAAAGGTGGAGCCTGTCCAAGATTATTACCTGGTTGTCCTAGACTTCAACACCAAGCGTAAGATTACTGTGAAATTAATTATCACATACTGTTATAAAATAATTATGAGAATATCCCCTACAACACAAAAGCAGAATACCACTATGGCTGCGTGAAATATGTATCTATGAGACACTTAGTCAGAACTCATTGGCAAATCTTACCTTTGTTCTCAACTTTGAAACTTGACGTTTTGTGTTACGGTGGTCCAGAAGGTCTTGAATAACGAAGTTCTTGGGAAGCTTTTCCACTCCGCCAAATGGAACTGGATGTTCCCTCCGGCATTTTGGGCAGTGGATCATCGTACCCCGACAACATTGGTCAAGGCAGATGTGGCAATACGTGTGTCCACAGGGCAGCACTTTGGGCTCTCTGTTCTTGCCATATTTTTCCATGCAAACTTTGCATTCTAAAGTGTCGGACACGATGCTGTGATCACCAGATGTGTACGATTCGTCTGATGCCATGACCAGATGTGCTTTCTACATGTAAATCATGAAAAATATGAAAAAGTTGAGTTTTAAACTTGGCCTACATTTAAATATTCCTTTGAATATCAGCCGGCTCTAAAAAAAAAAATGATTTGGAGAAAGTTTTAACTAATGTCATGAGTTTTAATTTCTCCTTTTTGCAGTTTTATTCATGCCACTTTTTTGCATTTAAAACATCTCATTTTAAGCTGTAGAAAAAAGTTATAGCTATTTTGGTCACATTTGTTTTAATCATGAAATTATTATGATGAAATAAGCATTTAAAAAAAAACCAGCATAACATTATGGTTCATCCATTCTTTTTAGATGTAACTTTTAAATATTTCATTCAAAGCAGGCACTTTGCTTCAAACCACATTCTGTAAAATTTAATTGTAGGCATGCATACACACAGTGGGTCATTCCACACATCCATACAAACGTGTGACATTTACATCCGTGTTAAACCTGATGTGTAATTTGCTTCACAAGTATCATTAAAATTGACTGAAACTGATTCGTTTTGCAGGTTTTTTGCTTTTTACATGTAAATGGATTGGAAGTTGGAGATATAGGAGGCAATAAATAACATATTTTGTCTTGAATTTATGAAATCTTGCATTATTTAACATTAAAGCACATGAATAAAAATTGGACCCCAAATTTATGGAATGACCCACGTGTATACATAGGCCCTTAATTCTCTTGTATGTGAAGGTGTGAATATCATTCATTAACACCCGTGCCGTAAGTTCATATTTTTTTTAAAGTAACCCAGATTTTTTTTTTCTAAACCCAGCTTGAACAGTGCATATATCCATGAACACACAATTGTTGGCTTCACTCTGGATGTACACCTGCATGTACCACACCAAAAAGATTTCATAACGTTTTTAAGCTGGATATATGTCATGTACCGGCAGGCCTACATGTGATATTTCATATTTTAAGACAAAATAACCAAAATTGACACTCATACCTGGAAATCAGCATTCACATCGGTTCTTTTTAACATCAGCTTGTCAGTTCCGTTGAAAAATGGCGGCGGGACCGGACTCTGTACCCTCCATGCGCTATATTTAGATTCTGGGGAAATCCCACTGCCTGCCTGCCTGCTGGGCTTGTATCTAATTATAGAACACACACAATGCAGCCAGTGCATACGTGTGGTGTACTGTGTTCATGACCTTAAACCTGGTGACAAAGGAGTGAACCTATACATACATGTACATGTACATCACATTATATTCATGAAGATCACCTGAACTACATGTATTCAGGACAGTTGCATGAATTATGAGTTTCTTTTATGGGATTAATTACCGGGTGTGGAGGGGGGGGGGGTGAATGAATTTGAAGTTTGTCAACAAAAAAGTTTGGCATTGCATGTCATAATACAACAATACAAAAAAATTTAATTTATTTTGTACTATGTTACATGTACCATTCAAGTCAGGATTGACAGGCTTTCGAGTTACAGTGTTTTATTATACTTTTGTCAATCCTGGCCAGCTTGGATTGGATTGTTTTTGTTTAGTTTTGTTTACTTTTGTGGATTGCTTGTTGTACCTTGTAATTTGGCCGAATAAATAATAATAATAATAATAAATATTTAATGTATTTAAACTTTAAAAAAGAAATCCTCTTCTGTAGTCTGTACATGTACAAGGGAAGAGTCTGGGCCTTACTTGAAATATGTTTCTATATTATAGAAAAGAAATTAAAAGGACTTAAATCGTAAATTATTGTTTAAATATAAGTCACTGGGCAAGGAATGGTACATGTGTTATATATAAATGTTTATTCATTTAGTATTGTCATAGGGGGGCCAATAGGGCTGGGGACTGCATCTGAATCGATTGGTCTTGCAATTTATTGTCCCAAAAAGGTTTTTCTTTCGCAAGGTTATTTTTAAAAAATGATCCGGTACCAGCGAAGGAGAGCAAGTACTGCTCGACACCATGGGAACGAGATTGCTGAAGCTTCTGCCTTAAGTCACATCCCTGATTTGTCATGAAATGCAAATTCATGTGCATAAAACAAAAGGATCAGAAAAACCCTACGAACAGGCAAAAAATATTAATAACAGGGGCATATATATGCAAAAATAATTATGTTACATTGCTGTTTCAAATATTGTGTTTCTAATTCTCTTTTGCACAGAGCTGGATCTGTCGTCAGTACGTGTTAAATTGGACAGTGATGCCTTCAACCCTTTAACAACACTGAGCAACTTGACACGGCTGAACCTGTACCGCACAAGGATAACGGAGACAGTGGTCATCAACATCATAAGGTTGGAATTCTTTTAGTGTTTTTTTAACACTTTCATTTACTGCTATAGGTGTGGGTGGAATGAAGTCAGCTTGTGAGAACATCTATTTATTTGCACACCAGTTTTCATCACGTAAATGTGAAATAAAACCCTTCGACGTGTGCAAAATGTTCAACCTGAATGTCATTTGTCCCATTGTGTTAATACAGTGAATATTCCAATCAACGTATCAATCTGTAAGCCCAGTAAATTCCACTTCTCGGAGAGACAATTATGGAGGCTGGTCCCAACGTTTGCAACTTTTTGTAATCACCTGGGTTGCTGATACCCAGACTAGCTGTGGGCACAGATTGATAAGAGCCCCATGAGTACCAGTTAGTGCTGCAATCTGTAAGGGTTAGAATTACATGCCTCACCCTGTGGCCAGACATGCCAAATATGCAGATCCAGACCTTCTGTCTGTACGTATCAGATATCACCTCTCCCAGGTTGATGTGTGTAGGGTGGGTGGTCATGCTGGTGTGCTGACACAGCAGAATCACTGTTAGGGTACTTGGTGCAGCATGGGTGCAGGAACAATGTGCATGTCCTGTACAGTCCACTTCTAGTGTCCCCTACAGAATGTACTTGTATGTGTTCTTATTCCTCCATGGTGTGTGCTGAGAGTTTTTGAACCTTGCCAGTATGGGCTGCAGAGTGTTTCCTTTTCTGGCAAAACATGTCTAGTTTGCTCATCACAATACTAGATGTCCAACATCTTAGAAAACCTGAGTGGAACATTTGGATGGAGGGGATTGTTTATTCCTGGATGGGACCAGTCATTGCCAGTGCAAAGTTTGCATCAAAGTTGCTGACAGTGCTAGTGGTCAGTGGTCTGCCATAATGTTGGTGTACTCTTGGACATGGCATACTTCTTATTCCGCCATGGTCAATTGTCATGATGGTGTACCTTATGTACTTGTGCGTACAGACATGTAATCCTGGTAAGTGAAAAACAGAAACTTGCTATTTACATGATGTTGGGGCAGTATAATTTTCAAAATCTCTTTGTAGAAAGTCTGTGTTTCATCAAAAATGTTTACTAACTATAGTTCTAAATACTAGAAGCAAGAATCAAACTTTCATTTCCGAAGCAAAACAGTTATGATTTGGAAATCTTGCTTACAAACATGACAGATTTGCACAATGCTTATTTATAATCAACCTGGTAAGCTGTCCAAGTACCAAAACACTTTGTTTAGCTGACGTCATGCAAGAAATGTTTTGGGATAGCTGCCATTAAAAAAGTGATGTGTGTGTGTCAATAGGTTTAGTAAAAGTTCAGTTTTTTTTTAGCCAATGTTCACGAAGTAAACTTCCCTTTTATCTACTACCCTGACTACTAGTACTACTAGCGCCATAGTATTATAAGTGATTTTTTTTTCAATCTTCTTATTGAACCTGCGTTTACTTTCAAATTCAAGATGTCAGGCTGGCTTTCACTTTTAGAAATTGAAAACTTTTTGAACTTTTGAAATCGAAGGACCAGTAGCAGAGAAGTGGAGTGTGCCTCGGTCATTGTGTCGCAGTTTAAGCAATATCTTCAGAACCAATTGGCTGATTTCATTGATTTTTGGGTGGTACTACCCGAAGATATCAGGAATTATGATGGGTAAATTTCATTTTTGTAACCTGTGTAGTTTTTAAGTTAGGATTCAAAACAGTTGGCTGCCATGTCGAGGTCTGTTGTTTTTGTCAACAGGGAAAAGTCGCGTGACTAAAGAGCCTACGTAGTAGTACATGGTTCATGTACTTGATGTAGGTCCACAAACATAAATTTATGATTACTTTTTCAACTAATGGATTATTGCCGTTTCGATTACAGTGTTGATTAATTGAATAACTGACTTTCTTTGCCATGTTTGCATAGACTAATTATTCAAAAGCAAAACCTGGTCCACCATTTAATTTTTTTTTCACACACAGACGTCAGCTGTAATGTTTCTGAAAGCATTTGCCCCAAAGGAATTAGTTTATAGTCCTCTAGCCCATACTTGACCAGCACTGACTGCAATTTTTGTACCTAACATAAAGTCTCTAGTGTATAGTTCACTCAAACAAAATCATCCTTAATTTTTTTACCACATGTAATAAGGAGACACATAATAGTCAAGCCCCTTTGGGTACATTAATGGAGACCACATTTATTTTAAGGCTACTACTACTAGGTCCAACCAAATTGAATTAAGAAATTCTACAAGGCCAAACCACAAACTTTAGAGTCTTTATTCCAACTAAGAAAGAAAAGAGAATCCTACCCCAAACAACTGGATCACAGGTACATGTAGTTGAAATAAATTTGAATAGTAACTTACTGGTAGTAACATTAACACATCTGTTGATTGATTGGCAAGGCCTTGGAGAATGGTTTTGTTGATTTTAACCTTTGCTCAGGAGAGAGGGAATATGCTTGGAATGTCTCAGATTTTCAGTCCCCCATCATGTTCACTACATGAACATGTATCAGAAGAATGAAGGCCATACTGCAAAGCCCAAGTCCCCCCTCCTCCAGTCTGCCTAATCTGTGAGTGCCAACAGATGGTGGAAGGTTTAAGTTAGTCAGCAGCTTGTGGTGAGAGTGGTTTGGGAGTGGGAGGGAGTCTTGAGATAACAGTAACTTGAAACTTTGAGGTTTGATAAAGGCAGGGCTATAATAACAGTGTACATCTGGACATCATGAGAAATATCCAATGAGGGCAGTGACTGGGCAAAGCTGGTGTTGTTTGAGTTGGGTGAATTAGGACCATGGAATATTCAGCAAAATACCCCAAGAATGTACAGTATAATCTGATCAGGGAAGGTGCTGTTGAACTGTGAGGAAGCTGGACTTGAGCAACAATAAAAAAAAGTTGAATGATTTCTAAGCTCTGGCAACAGAGCTTCTACATGTCTCTCGGGTGTTGGTCGGTCAGTTGGTTCCCCCAAAAAAATGACCAAAAACGAACCCCCAACTCACCCAAAAAACTTTAAGAACCAAATTGTAACTGTCCCAGAAAAGCAAACAAAATACATTGAATACTTGACAAAAGGTTTTGTAAAAATGTGTGACCTTGTTATGATTTTTTTAGGAATAGAGGCAAGATAACGTGTGGTAATGTAATAGTCACATGGTAAAGGCACTGGGGAGTGTTAGCTTGAAGGGCTAGGGGCCTTCTTCTTCCTTTGTTCCCTAACAGACCTTGGAAAGCACCTGTGCACTATAAATTACATGTACCTTGGCTCTAGCCTCCGGCCCTGCGTTACTATTATGGGTCTCAAGGGGGGCATTTGGGAGGGGGAGATTGACCAAAAGTATGGTGTTCCATATTTGCCATCAGCATTGCATTTTTGAGCTCTGACAGGGATCATATTGATTGATTTCATGCAAGACGTTCATGTAAGACTTCTTGCAACATGGCCGGAGCTTATTGTGCACTCACACTTGTTTCCTACAACATTTGCTTTTGCTGTAATTTTCTGAAATGAATGGATTTGGTGGTTAGTATTTTATAGTGTCACACTGATATGATCTGTTTACAGTTTAGTGTTCATGAATGCTGGAAAAACCAAAGGAGAAAATGCTGTTCTTTTAATATTGTTAACGGTTCTGATAAGCATACACATGCATGAACACAACGCGAAACAACGGACTGGTCGATGACGCCTACAGGTGGCATATGTGTCAACGTACATGTATCTGGATATGAAACCTTTATCGTCAGTTTTACTTTTGTTTGTGAAGTATTCTGCTTATTTTTTTACTCTTCCCCTGTGCAGAAATTCACCCAAACTGGAGCATTTGAATCTAGGAGCAATACAGACAATACAAAGCTTTGACAATGTGGTAGCTGAACTGGTTAAGTGCAAGTAAGTAACTGTCATTTGATTTCTTACATGTATGTTGACATGTTAGTGGGGCAGATAGGGAAATAGTTGGGGGAATTGTGCCTTTGAGTTTGATGATGAAAGCATGGAATTTGGCAGACAGTCAGAGCATAGCTCTATGGTCAGAGTATGTCACGAGAAAGATGTGTGGCTGTAGGGCCATCACAGATTTGTCCTGTGACAATTGTCTTGTGACATGAATAAACTATAAAAGAGTAGGCATTTGTAACAAGTTCAAGCATGAGTACGCATATGACAAAGTACCGCTACAGGTATTCAGTATTCCATGATTAAGTGAAGCCATTCTTGAGACTATGCTATTGCATATTTATGGCAGATACCTACTAAGCTTGAATCTATGGCGTGCAAGGTCCCTGACGATTACAGGCCTCGGTGCTCTATCAGAAGGATGCAAGAATCTACAGGAGATTGACTTGGGATGGTGGTAAGTAGGCAACTTCTATCAAATATAAAATAATGATACATTTATAAACACCCAGGACACTTTACCTATTTCTGTTGGTTAAGAGCATACTATCATTTGCAGCTATTCAAAAAGTAACTGACAAAATTATTGTTAAAAAAACATACTTGGTTAACAAATTGCAATAACTCTTAATCTTAACTCCATGTGAAATTCTTCTTTCTGGCATGCTGTCATTTTGAAAAAAAAAAAAAAAGTAAAAGAAGGTCGTTTCCAAAGATGCGTCTTTTAGATGCATTTTTGGAAATTTCCGTTAATAGTTCGTTTTTAATTTGGCAAAGCAGTGAACGGGTGCATGCAAGCATTGACACGACGTACAGGCACACACGGTTGCTATTTAACTCTTTTGTTCAGTGCGTGACATCGCATAGCTGCAATCAGCTGAATGAGAACGTGTCCCGGACGCTGAATTTGGGCGCAATTCACAACATGACTTGGCAACTTTCGAATTGAAATCGAGATCATTGCTTTCTCGGAATATACAGCATTCACTAAGCTAAGAGTAGTTTTGTTTCCTGATGTTTGCAAATGTTGTATATTCCCTTTAATGCTCACTCCCTACAAAGTTAATCCCAACTTGCCTGAGTCTTCCCTTTCCTTTACCTGAGAAAAAAAACCGAGTAATGTATCTTCTTCTTTTTTTCAGTGTCCAGTTGAGAGGCACTCAGTTTTCGTCGAGTTTTGTGAGTTTTGTGCAGTCCTGCAGGAAGTTACGGAAGCTGTTTCTAACTGCAGTCAGGTGAGAATAATAGGGACAAAGGAGTAATGCAAGATATGTGATCTGCACAAAATCATTGTGTACTATTGGATGGCTTTGAGGGGGAATACAAGAATATATTGCACAAGCTATAACAATATTGCATGAGTCGCGTAATATATTCTTGTATCCCCCGAATAAAAAGCCATCCAACATTGTTATAATAATTTATATTAGGCTGACTAGCTTGATCCGCAAGAAATAAATTTCAGGACACTGCCTTTATTTCTCAAATTTCGTCAAATTATCACCGCTCGAAGCTGCCATTGTGGATGTTGACAACAGTGTGCATTTATCCTGCTAGTGCTGCATCCGCGTGCCGCGAGCTATGCTCTGTTAACTGGTTCAAAGCATAGCTGTATCAAGTCACATAGTCACAGCCAGTCAATCCTGCTCTATGTAGCTGGGGGCTCTCAGTTGTTCAACTGTTGAAAACAGTCACTTGATAGATATTGACTGAATCTATGCTCTGCGGGTAATTCATGTTTTGCATTATTGGCTTGTACAATGCAGGAGCGTTTCCAATAACGACATGAACGCCATTGCTGCCTACTTACCAGACTTGGAACAACTGGACGTCCTTGGTACGTTATCGGTGTCTACAGATGGTGTGCAGAGGTATGTCAAAGCAAGATCCAAATACTAACGGAAGACATTATTTCCAAAATGCACTAGACACCATTTTGTTACATTTGTACCGTTTAGAATCCTGCTCGCTCCTAGCTGGCTGCCCATGGTCAGTTTGGACAGGTCTTATATTGTTCAACACAATTTAAGAAGAAAAAAAATAATTTTTGAAATAAAATTTTCAATTTTAGGAGACTATTTCACAAAACAGCGTGTAACTTATGCTGTTGAAGAATCTACTGTTGTAGCATATAATGTTGCACAGCTGGGCCATTGTACTTACAATTGATTCATGAAATTTATTGAATACAGGCATGCAACTTTTCCTCGGATCCACTGATTTCCTAATTTTTATTTCTCTGGAATGCCATTGCAAATTGAAAAACACTTTACAAAGTCTTGTGCGGTTTGGAATTTCCTCATTTTTTCCTAAATTCCCAGCTGCATGTCTGTGGAAAAAAAGATGTGGATCAGAAAATAAAGTTTAGTTTGCAGTTTTTATCATGGACATGGTTGCATTTTGTATGGTCTTATGCATCTTAATCTTTATATTTTGAAAAAATAAGCTTATTTACAAATTATGTAAAAAGCCAGAATCTTCACTATATTATTTTTTTTATTGTCAACCATGGCAATGCTACTAGCCAACTACTGTGCATTTCACCAATCTCACACTCCAGAATACTGGAAAGCTGCCCAAAGATGCGTTTCTGTGACCTGTCGTTCTGCAACAGCATGTCCGATATGGAAATCATCGTGTTAAGGGCAGCCTACCCAAAGGTCACTATACAGAGGAGCTTTGTCACCTCTTGACCTCTGCCCTCTGACCTGTCAGCATCACGTCATCAATGTGTCAAGCTGGAGGACTGATCTGGCAGATCGAAGGTGGAATGCTGGGTCTTGATGATACGGATGCTCTGTAAGTAGACCAGCATCAGGAATCGGTGTCAGAAGCGGGATGTCAGCTAATCAAGACACAGGATTTTGTCTAGAGCACCAATCAAATATTTTGATCCTCCGGTGCTCTGTAAGTAGTAAGCAGTCAAGACTTGTGATGAGAATTGTATCACGACAGGGTTTGTCTCTCTGTTCACTATGCAAAGTACTGATGAAATCCATGTATTTTAGGATTTGGTTTTTAGTTCAGGTCTTATGGAGTATCATTTTTAACTTTGAAGTTTTCTCAGGGCCTTTAAAAAAATATACTAACAGCTGTAGGTATTAAAGTACTTTCCAAAACCTCACCGCACTAAACATAGTTCTTACATTAGATTTGCAGTGGAATCCTTGTCCTAATTCAGGCATCAATAGCCAAACATTTGAGTTCCAGTTGAATCCAGAGCTGGGTAAATCAAAAACCAGTTGAGGCAAGACATGCATGAAATGACATTGAACATTCAACCAATTTGTGGACCTCAATTAGAGCCACTACTGTGCGTGGAGATACCGACACACTCATTGCCCCTCTGACCAAAAGGGTTGCACCTCAACTCGCAACATGTGGATGTGCATGGTACCACATCAGCGATGGCATCTAATTGTGTTTTAAGGAAAAGTGAAGCATTGGTTTCTAGTGATGATTTTTTCTTCCTGCTCTTGATTCTTGCAGCGGCTTGAGCCTTAGACTTACAAGCCAGACGAGGCACTTTTGTTTATTTGAGCTCATTCAGGAAGCAACAAAAAAAAAAACTTGCCTCACCATCATCTTGTAAATGTTGTCAGTCAGCTTGGTCTACTGTTCCTTCTTATTGGCCGTCTTAGAATTTTGCGTCTTGTCAGGTCATAAGATGTAGTCAACCTGTTTAGCAGCTTGGCGTTCGAGGAAAATAACCCTCCACAAAGGGTCAGTAATAGTAGCCTTTGAAATCGATGACAAATTTCAACCCTCATGCTATGATTGGATGGCTTAACTTTGATTTGCATTTTTAAAGACACCATTGTAATGTTGTGTTATGCAGGAATTCTTAATCTTAATGGCTGCGCACTTGGCAATCAGCAACATTAAATAATCATCACACATGACAAAAGAAAGTTATTTTGCTATTATGAGAAGGTTGTGTTCTTCAAACTTTCTCAACTACATTATTTACAGTAATTGTGCATTGGGTTAAAGTTTACAAAACATTGATGACCATGGTCATCAAGAACAAGAGCCGGTTCAGTTGAGTTCATGTACTTACCTGAGCTCGCTTGCTTGCTTGCTTGTGGGTTGAGACGACTTCTCAGGGTGCTGTCTCTCGTTGTAGTGTTGGATTTGGATCGGAAGTCTTGAATCGCTTGTCTTGGGTAAGGTGATGGCATTGGCGATGTGCAAAGATGATCACTTGGCTTTGGGCATGCCAAGATCTGAAGAACTTAAGCTATAGAAGCTGTTGGAGTTTGATGTGTGTGTGATCTCCATGCCTCGTTCCATCAGCAGAAAGTGACTGGCAATCTTTGCCAGCAGAGATTGAAGAATTAGCTCTCTTGAGTCAGTCCTTCTAGCCAAGGGTCTCAAATGGTCCTTAGACTCTGTAACTCACATATCGGTACAATGTAGTCTTATTTTGTGGTATTCCCATCTAACTGATTACCTGTATTTAACTTGAGGAGACTATTGCCTTTAAATTCATGTTTCCTTCTCACCTTCTTGACGAAAGAACTTAATTTTGTCCTTCGCTGAAATGACCATGTTCAGCTTATTTCTGCCATAGGTAGAAGGCCGTTTTAGTGTCACTCCTGGAGGCATACCCACTGCGTGAATTTCTGAAAGGTGCTTGTAGGATATCTTTTTTTTCCCCCGTTGCTTCCTCTACATAAAACACACAGGTAGTTGGGGTGCAGCCCCATATCTCAAAGGAAGGTCGGCGAAGGGCACAGCTCAAGGACAAACAGTCTGAAGTCGAACAAGGGATCTTGCAGCGTCGGTGGGAGTCCCAGGTGGACGGGAGGTGCAGAAATTAAATTATAGACAAGAATAATATTATTGTGTGCCAATATCTACAGTTTATTGACTGGTTGATGAAATGCATGTAGTTATTTGTTAGTTTTGGTGGCCTGATGGTAGTTGAGAAACAGTCGTTTCCTCAACCGGTTCCTCCACTCACCCGACATCTCTCTCTTTTGGCAAATGCATCGCTGGACCGTTTTTTTTTTAGATGTTTCTGTCACTGGGGTAGTTGAGAACGATGGTGACTTCAACGATGGCACAGCATCCTTCCGCACATGATATCTACAATCTAGCCCCAAAGACACTTTCACTGTAGACTGCGGGTATTGGCAGTCGGCAGTGAAATGCTCGCCACAGACGAGTCTTGCGTCGTCTCAACAAACTTGATCCACTGCCGACGAACGACCTCATTCTTTGGAAGTTCTAAAAATCTCAATTCTGAATCTTTTGCAGAATTTCTCATTAAACCTCCGATCACACAGGATTTGGACATTTTCCTAAAATCACGGAGAAAGGAGCAAAAACTTCATTGGTCTTCAAATAAAGTTCAACTCAGCCTGTATTTTTTCTTTGTTTGCTTCGATCTGACTGGAAAAGTTGGAACCTGGACTCGGACCAGATCACCTTGCTCCAGTCATCTGAGTCCAGGCTGCCTGCTCTCTGGCCCAAGCTATCCGGTGGGCCTTGTGGTCTGCAGTAAGGCGGGGCTTGTGCCTAGCTACTCTGCCATTTAGGCCATCAGCTGCCTATCCGCGGGAAACAGTCGAGCGATGGATACCAACGCCGGTCACGTCAGCATGATCGATGGCCAACTCAGGGGCAGTCAGGACTTGGTTGCAGCGGGAATTCCGCACACGGTGTGGTCATCTCTTCTGTTGTCTTTCTTGGACGACCAGATCTTGATGCATTCTACATAGAATCATTCTCTTCCAATTTCTTCAAAATATACCTCACGGAACCCTCCCAGATCTCGAGCCTCCGGGCAACTCACGATTGGGAATTCCCTCCCCATGCAGGGCATGGATCATCCCTTTTTGGTGATTGTTGAGCTGAGATTTGTGCGGCATTGTGAAACGTTCGGTCGCACTCACATGCAAATTAACTATCTTTTAATATGTCCAGGGGATTCTATGTCCAATATTTATTAATGGATGAACAAAGTAAACATAGAAAAGTGGCAGGAGCGGTATCCTACTCCTGCCAGTTTTCTTTGTTCACTTTTAAATATTCTGACGAACTTCACAGTTGAGATTGTTCCAACCTTCCCATGGGACTCTAGCACAGACACACCCCAACCAACTGCAGGAGATTCTTGTGTGCCTCCAGCTTGTATATTTGCCTTGCTTCATGTACATGTAGGACGCTCTCACACAGTTTTGGCACAGGTAGTTTGTCAGGATTTTATCAATTGCTTGATGAACACCAGCATTCCTTTGAAAGTCGTTTTGAGACATTCACTGTTGGCTCCGGAACCTACAACTTCTTCGGTCGGAAACAAGTCCCTTGTTATCATCATTGAATGGGGAAGTTGCTTAGTCATATGATGCTAAGCATCCCAGGCTGCCAGCCGCTTTTCTGAAGCTTTTGGAAAGCCATAGTTTTGAGTACATTTACAATTTGTACTGCATGAACCATACCTTTTACGGCATTGAGCTTGTTTGGGCTGAGGGGTGTTTTCACTTCCTGGCTTTCTTTGAATCGAGAACAAATTTTGCCCTAGACTAAGCAGTCTTTTAGCTCTTCTGTGTCCCACGTGGCCTCTGCCAACTTGTCCAGGTATAAATCAACATTGCTTATATTTACACATGCGAAATGATACCAAAGATCACAATTATTGCACTGGATCCACTGCAAAGTTTTCGTCTTTGGTTGACAGCAAGTGGAACAGGCATATCTCTTATCTTCCGCAGTGACTTGTGTATTATGCAATCCTTGATGTACCTCCTGTACATTGGTACGTGCTGCTGCCGCATGATCATTGGTGGCATCTTGGCAAGAATTGCTTCTGCATACTGAACAAAAACTACAGACTCCTTTATGTCATCTGACAGACTATCCCATAGTGTGAGTGCATGACCACTTAATTTGGCGAGGAGGAGGGTGGCTAGGTCAGGTTGAGTTTCGTGGGGATTAGCATTAATGGCTACCTCGAGCCAGTGACACCAAAGAGTGAAATCTTCGGTGCCGTTTCCAGAGAATGGGGCAGGGAGTTCGGTCTTAAAATACCGTAATGGGGAGTGTTCTACTACTCGTGGGACAGGGAGACATGGCTAGGGCAGTTGGTGCAGTGTAAGAAAAAACAATGCAAAGATAAATAAACATAAAAGTAATGAACCTAAAAAAGGAACTAATAAGGCTACTATCATAAACAATGGCAATGATAATTGGCTAACTACATGTAGGAGCAATGTGCACAATTTACAAAATATGATGAAATACGAGTGAAGAAGGAAAACACAGTTAATTAAAATCGTCTAAAAATGTTGTGCGAGAACAAAATAACTTGCAAGAAGACGCCAGTTGGGCACTGTCAGCATGGTTCCATCGGCGATGCACTGTCCACAGGGACGATTGTGTTCTTCTCCAGAAGACAATCATCTCGGGAGGGCAAAAGATGCTTGCCCACAACGTATCACACTTATGTAACTCCGTTGAAATCCTTTCCTTCAGTGCTGTCTCCTTCTGTGCCCTCTTCTCTTTCTGCTCATTTTTCTCCTTCATTTTCTCTGCTCTGGTGGCTTTTGTCCACCTACATTGTACATCTATCTGTACAGACTGGCACAAATTTCACCTCTGTCATTCTGTAGTCTTCAATCAAGGCTCTGTCAAGACTTCTTACTCCCATCATCATCTCCCTCAAGTGGCTCACACTCAGCAGCACACTTCCCATCATCTTCTTTGTGTCCCCCCCCCTCCCCCTGCATACAACGATTTCTCTCCGTCCTTATCCAGCCACATATTGCCTCAGGAGGGCAAAAGATGCCAAGTGGAAGGGTAGGTATGTTTTTATTGACTCTGAGCCAGTCCGGAGTCTCGCCGCGCATGAGGGTTTGTTCTAGCTTTGTTGCCTGTTTCCGAACCTGATTTCTCAGGCTGGCCAGCGGATTACTTCTATTTTGGCACAGTGTACCACCCTAAGTGCGTCTGGAGTGAGCCTGATGTGCCCGTCTGGATTTTGGCATCAATCAGGCTCAAACCCGCTGTTTTGACTGATGCTAGTTGGTCCTTCAGCGAGATAAGCTTCGAACAGTATTCGTTCAGAATCAGGTTACCCAATTCCACCGTGCATTCTGCCAGTTTTCTTTTCCACGAGACAATCATTTTGGGAGGGCAAGAAATGCCAAGTGAAAGGGTAGGTATGCTCTCTCTCTCTTGCAAGAAACTCTTTCCCTTTGGATCTCTGCATGAAAATCAAACAGCATGCAAATAACTTAATCATATAAGGCAGAATCATATTTGAAAAATAAACAGACAAATACAAACATACACGTAAGCTAATTAACTGACCTTGAACATGACCTGAGGGTTTCACTTCCTTTTTGGGTTTGTCCTGTTGTTTATTCTCTATTAAAAACATCAAATGAAGCAGGAATGAGTGAATATTTTGTTTTGGCTTCTGCAGGTCGATCAGCACATACTCATTTAGTGACGTAGTGACCTGTACCTCTTCGTTGGTCTCCCACCACTGAACATATTCAACAGACCACTTTTTGACTGTTCATCCTTGAACACCTTTTTCCTATACCTCGTCTGCACTCTCAACAAATCACCCTGTTCTCTTTCATTCTTTCCATGCAGTCTTTCATCCATCTGTCTCACACTCACCCACAACGTATCACACTTATGTAACTCCATTGAAATTCTTTCCTTCAGTGCTGTCTCCTTCTGTTCCCTCTTCTCTTTCTGCTCATTTTTCTCCTTCATTTTCTCTGCTCTGGTAGCTTTTGTCCACCTACATTGTACATCTATACG